GCCGTGCAGTGTGGTAGAAGTTTACTCCGACGTTTCAGGGGTCCTTGCTGCCTACTTCACTGCCCTGATGATGGAGGCAGCAAGGACCTCTGAAACGTCGGTAAACTTCTACCAGATTACACGATGCAACAACCCAGAAGACAGCCATCACCTCCGTGAAAACCTCAAGTCTTACATAGTTACTAGATCTGTATTTTTAATCACAGAGACGTATATTTATCATATCAATATAATCTGTAATTAATTAGTAATCTTCAAATTGAATATAATCCTTCTTAATTAAAACTGCAGTTCTGGACATAATAATTACAAGGAAAATTAAAGTCTCCCCTCAGTACTGAACCTAAGCCGTCTCTTTAAGCACTTTTACCTTAATGTTTACTTCGGGTATTGTCTGTTATCTGCATGAGCATTTGGTCTGTTCCCCTATAAATTTAAAACTGCCCAAAATATCATGGCCCAGGAGAACCTATCAAGTCAAATGGTGAGTTTTTTTATTGTAGTGATATATTCAACTATGCTGTCAGTAGCTTGGATTATCTATAGCCTGGTTTAAGGTACTACCCCGGCATTTGCTTGGACGGACTGAGAAAAATCACGAAAAACTCATAAACAAGATTTAAAAGCAGGAACTCCAGAGTACGAAATAGGAGTGCTAACCACTCGATTACGACGTTCGGGCGAGTGTTTCAAAGACTCGATACAGAGGTCATAGGACGCGCTGTCTACCAAGGCATGAGAATAAAAATACACCAGGTGAATGTAACACGGCTAAAAAGTGCCTAGATACTGCACCACGGCCTGGAAGCTAGGAACAATGGAGACGTGACAGAATAACACAGAACCCAATCATTGTCCGGAACATGACGTAAATCTAGAGATAAAGAAACCAACTTTTAAGAGTCTTCCTGTACCGTGATCCAACGACAATTTTACCAATTGTCGTGAAAGAGATCTCTTTCTGCCACGTAGACTCCCGTCGAGGGACAGCTTCTGTAATGGCGAACTTAAAATCATGGAAAAGATTAAAAGTCCAGTGAATATTCAATCCATGTATCTTAGCACAGATATTTTACAAAAATGCTTCTACTGGGATACTAACAACTGTGTCTCAGTTCACTACTGCTGATAACTATTCGGGGAATTTCAACTTTGAATCTCGGGCAGAAATTTACGTTGTTTTCAAAATCCGTTCAGGAAAACTCATGGATAGAGTTCTGAACTACCGGTGCACATGACATGAGTATGGTCAACCAGGAATTTGCGGTTAAGCAGAAATAAGCTTGAGAAGAAATGACCTTGAGAAGTTTGGAGGCCTGTAGCCGGAAAACGAGTGGGTTGATTTTATCGTGACTTCTTATATTACCTTGACCTATAATAGACACGAGTATTGTAAGGCAGATAAATGCAGTTCGGAAGAAACACGTGCGAAAAATTTAACTTCCAAAAACCTACAAAATTTTACAAGCATCTATCCGGCAATCCCTTGGGCTAATTTTATCGTGACCTTGTCATAACCTTCACCTATCCGTAACAACTAAGACACATGAAAATGGTCAACAAGGTATCTGCAGTTTGGCAGAAATAATCGTGAGAAAAACTACCTTGAGACAACCTTGAAAAATTTACAAGCTTCTACACGGCAAACCCTTCGGCTGATTTTATCGCGAATTTGACATTTCATTACTTTATATGTGACCTCATACTCACAAGAAAATGGTAACTCAAGTGCACACGGTTCGAGAGATATAAACGTGAGAACGTATTATCATGAAAAGACCTTGAATAATTTGGATGCCACTATTCGGCATGCCCTTGGGGTAATTTTGTCGAGGCCTGTACAAGACCTTGCCCTATGTGTGACCTCAAATTAACCAGAATATAGTACATCTGTATCTTACAGTTCGGCAAAAATAAGAGAACATATGACCTTGAAATCATTAAAGGTCTGTATTACGCAAAATCCTGGGCTGAAATTGTCGAGACCATTCTTTGACCTTTGCAGATCTGTGAAATCAACGTGATATGAGTATAATCAATCAGATAAATACAGTTCGGAAGAAATGAGATCGGCAAAGAGTGGGTAAAAGCTGATTTTGAAATTTCAACGGTTCTTAATACTTATAAGAACTATTTTTCATCGCGTGTCATTAGCGTTCTGAAAGGTCACATGGCTTTTTTAAAACAACTATTAATCACGTACAGAGTTCAGCATTAACCTATTGTTTTTCCTCGGGCATTAATTAGAACTTCCCCATTAAAACGTCGTTACTACGAAGATATCGCGCAAGAATGGCGTAACAGCACAATTGCTACTCTGGCGCAAAGTGCAGAGAAGCAAGCATGAACGTGTCACATGATCGCCTGAACATCACAAGCGCCCGCCGAATGTCACACGATTTTCGATCCTAATTTTCCGCCACTCATCCAAAATATGAGTGAACTAAAATTTTGAGAACAAAACCTGATTTCATTTATAACAGCGCAACATTAAGAATAATATGCTAAAATTGGGAGATTCTGTCATGGAATTATACTACTGAGTATGTAAACTGCGTTATCATCATTTTAAAATGTGTAACAAACGTAGGGAAATACAGGAAAATAAAAAAAAAACATAACTTCGTTTAAAACATCCTGAGCAACATCTGAACGATCAAAAACTATTGTGGGCAGTTAGAGGTGTCAAAATAAATAGAAACTTCGGCCACTCTTGCCCCAAGTCTTTAAAGCAAATACCAAAAGAAAGAGAGTTTGAAGGCAAGTAACATTGTGTGTTCGGTGGTGAGTTAGACTTGGTGATATACAGGTGACATGATCTATAGAGGCTGTTGGACCGCTCTCGATATATGATCTATGCCGTACACGCTCTGGAATCCTCGGCACGGGTTGATAGCCATAAGCGGGCGTGCCCGACTTTATTACAGAACGCAGAGACATTTGAAGAATGCGACCCGATCCCAATTACCATAATTCTTGCGTCTGAGTTAAATATGAAATGACTTATGAATAAAATAGACCTTCACCAAACTAGATTCGTATTCCCTTACAAAAAAAATTGTTTAAAGTTAATCTAGATTCGTATTCCCTTACAAAAAAAAATTTTTGTTTAAAGTTAACTATTTATACTGAGCAAACACTCTTGACAGAAACAAACTAGTAACTAAAGAATAAAATAAAATATAAGTTTAACATAAATTCAATAGTTTCGTCTGTAGCACGGCCCAACCATTCGGCTGCTCTGACACCTGTTGATCTCCATAAGCAAGTGGGCTTGAAAACGAAATTGATTTAGAAAAAAATCAATTATAAACTTATTTTTTCATATGGCGTTAATGCAATCACTTCTTAAAATATTCCAGTATGGTAGATCTACCATACTTCGCGCAGCCACATCGAAAAATAAAATATAATCACAGAAAGATCCAATCCCACACCACAATCATGTAACTATTTACAGCTCCTAAAATTATCATAATATTACACGTCTTTTCATTGCAATACAAATCATAAACACGTATAGAATGTAACAGCATAATTTTCAAATAAGAGACCGTAAATTATCTTAGACTGATTTCTTCCTTCGCGAGTTATTTAACGATGCTGAATTAACAAATGAATGTATGTAGCATCAAATGAGACAAGGTGATTAGTGTAAGTACAGTTTTGAAGAAATATAATAAATAAATTCATAAATCATTACGTGTAATGTATCTTCAATAATATTATAATTTGACGTTTCGAGAATGTCCTAAAAGAATTTTCCTGAAGAAGTACAAGGCAATTATTTTCCCAAGTTAAAACTTTAAATAAACACAACTAAAACATTATAGAAAGAAAATATTTCAGTCCCAATTAAAACTTAGTTTGTGGGTACGAAATTCTAAATTTGAGGTGAAGGAAAATTCTTAAAAATATTCCAGTCATGACCGATTTCCGAAGTCACGCTTTAAGGCAAGGCTAAGTCAAAACGTCCAGTTCAGCGCAGAAACTGCGAATTCAACAACTTACCAGCTGCTTTAATATCGTGCATCCATATACAACGTCACATACATTTCTGTCGTCAATGAAGTTCATCGCATCGGTCCACTGAGCGTCTCTTCCCAGTGGCATTGTAACGTCAACATAATTTTTCTCTTTTCCTGACGTCAACAACTTAATTGAATCTGCTAGTATCATTCCTTATATATACTTTGGCATTTTTAAAAAAGGTGGAAATAATAAGTAACTTCACGTACACGAGAGTTTTGTAGAGAATGATTAAATAATCCACGAAATAAAAATTGCGATAAAAAAAGTATTTCTCGACACACATTTATAAGTAGGACGTTAAAAGTATACAAACCGAAGCCTCTTTCTTATTAATTTTAATTGAACATTTCACGACACAAACAATAGTCTGTAAATTTAGAGACGCGTATCTAACAAAATGCAAATTAAATTGTCGATTCTGAAACACATAAATATCGGATTCTGCACAGTTAAATACATAACACGTTCGTTACAAAGAATACTGGGAATTTAGAGGCCTACTCCAATGTTGCTGGCCGCGATGTTCATTTATTGTAAACAAAAAAAATACTACATTACACAGTGTCACGTATTTCGTTAAATATCTGTTACATCGAAAATGTTTCGAAAGAATTATATATATTGCGTAATCCATCACAATTTTATATCACGAAAAGTTTTTTTTTTTGGAAAATCTTATCGACATTGATTTGATCTTCCGCTAAGCAGTGATTAGGCCCATATAATTTTCTTCGACGTATTTTAGTGAAACTTACTTTCGTTATCAAAAACAATTTTAAAATGCAAGTAATTACACTGATCCATGATTTCAGCTCTCATGGATAAGGCTGTCTGATGCGATGAGATTCATAATTAATTTATCAGTAATTGTAAACACGTTGCCATAGAAACCTACAGCTGGAATGGAGCAGATCGTAAAGTTAAAATACCATTCAATAAATAATATAAATTTGAATATAATAACTTACCATTAACAGAGGGTTCTGGAAGTGTGTTCCGTCAACTCGTAGAGTCTTTAAGATCGGCTTCAAGATATTTACTTCATTTCCGGTTGCATGATTGAGAGAATGGTTGCATTTTCAGGTTCTCAAGGCCGGAGTTGGTGTTTTGATTTGTAACTCCGTGTGGACTTACAGTCAGACACCAGATTATGGTTTCAGATCACTGAAATAAAAGCTTGATTTTAATGCTGATGACAGTAAAATCTATTTTGATTGAAAGTGATTAGGCGTTTTTTATAGAACAGCATAATGCCATCACAGCGGGTGGCTGCATATATTATGTGGTCTGTTAGCATAAAAAATTCACGAAACGTCCAAAATACACGAACAGTAAAAACAATAAAAACGTGTTACAGTTATACGGAATTTAAATTGATATTTAATTTCCAAATAACTCCAACAAACAAATTCTTTCTTTGTTATATATTTGTTTAAAACTTGTCCGTCTAATCACAATTTAGATTTTAAAATATTTAAAATACCATATGATGTTCTCTATCGAAACATTCGATTTACACTAGAACATCATTTTTTTCTCACGACATGTTTCAGTTCTTAAATGAACTATCTTCAAGTGTATACAATTAAAATTATATAAACTTAAATACAATTTCTTAAATGCAACTTTTTATATATATTATTGTATTTTATTTTAGTCAGATATCTGATAAACATCTGAAGATAGTTCATTTAAGAACTGAAACATGTCGTGAGAAAAAATGATGTTCTAGTGTAAATCGAATGTTTCGATAGAGAACATCATATGGTATTTTAAATATTTTAAATTGTGATTAAACGGACAAGAATTAAACAAATATATATTTTATCACAATATGACGCAATTTTATCATCTCAGATTCTTTCTTGATAAAATTATGGTTGTTCGCCTAGTCAATGAAACAGTCGTCATTTATACATCCCGAAGGTCCATTAATGTATCCTTAGAAGCCCACCTCTGGATTCTAAAATACCAAATAACTCCATCATTGTGCAGTTTTAATTATCCTTTTGATAATCCTACCCTCTTTTTAAATCCACATTTTAACCCTTGTTATTATACAATAAAGTAACTCGTGTTCTTTGATACCAAGATTACGTAATATAATACTTTAAAATAACAGTACAGTTCTGGTTAAGATTTCAGATAATATGACAACCAACACTTGAATCCTAGTCTTTATTTAAACGTTCATTCCGGGCGACTTCAAAGTCTTGTTCTGCCCCAATTGCCAGGAATTTGAAGGCGCGTCACGTAGACCCACATATGGACTAATAATTGCCACGATACGTGAAATCCTTATCTCCCCCCGGATGACCCTAAACCACTAACATCGTCTGACAGCCACGTAGACTTCACGCCACTGAAGTCCATAGCGTGACTCAATAATGCACAATCGGAATGTCCATTATTAAGAACCGCGTAATACCACTCGCGCTTTGTGTGTTCCTGGCATTGCGATGCTCGTTTGTTAAATACCGCGGATTGCACCCAGAGGGCGTGTCTTGGTATGTCAGGCATCCTAGACGGCGTCTGAACCGAACTTTTTATTATAGCATTGTTCAGTGCAAAAGTGTGCCCGGTACTTAACAGCACGAGATAGATGGCAGCATCGTCGTAGCAAACGAGAAATATACAACGTTCAATTTTATTTTACAAAGAAAGATACGATACCATACCCACGTGTCCCCCCAAAATAACTTCTGAACCATTTAATTACATCTTATCAAATTAACGACTGTTTCAGTTCCGTTGAATATATATTTTGTGCTCGTTTCTGAAAAATCGCGGTTGACATGTGCTCATATAACATCGTTAACTCTGTCTCTGAAAGTTTAGTCTTCAATCACATCACTGATGGGCTCACAATAGAGTCGCCAGTCAGTGAATGAACATTAACAGAGCATGAACGACTCCAGAACTATAAAATAAAAGTCCTAGTTCGAAACGTACCGAGCAACGAAGATATATGAGGCCAACAATGTCTCAAGTCACGTGTTCAACACAGAGCCCAAGTATTCTACACAATACAAAACATATAAGCACGTCTTACAGATAAAATCAATGTTGCAATCATTAGTTAAATTATTATACCTGGAGATTCCGAGAGAAACCACGGAAAACCTCACTCCGGAAAGTCGTACACAAAGGTTATGTCAGAACACTTACCCAAGTGATGGTCTTTTTTCAAGTGGTATGCATTCCATAATCATCTTTGGCTTAACTCACGGTATCAAATGTTGGGAGTTTAAATAATTCAGTACTTGATCGAACGTCCTTAAATAATGACTAAGACGATATTCCGCATCTGCTGTTAGTATCTACAGCATTCGGTGTGCAGACTAAGGCCAAGGACAGAACAAACATCAACGCATCTACTAAGCTTGAATCACAACAACGTGACGTCATTCCATGGCCCACTCCGTCACTCTGAAGCACCCCATTTGTCTGAAACCGGTACTTGAGGTCGTAACAATCGATACAGCCTCGATCGTGGGTCGAAATTTTACGCAAAATTCCCATATAAATTACATCGGCGCCGAAGTTACTATGAAAAAGTATAAATTGTTACGTTTACGCCTAATTATCCTACAATCCTCGATATATAGAATTCTGTAAAGTTATTACAACTGTGAGCGAGTGAAAGTATATAGGGGTGTACGATCACTCATTCTAAAGATGTCGCCCTGATGTCTGGAAAAGTTTTTGCGAGAACTGCAAAGTTACGCTATTTCCATTGTTGAGCGGAAACACGTAAGGAAGGATTTTTCCTGTAGTATAAGAGCACTGTCTTTTCTTTCAATGTAGTGTTTCCACTTTGTAGCCGTTAATAATAATTAGACGCGAACGTTGGAAGTTAGTGCCTCTGGTGGAATGTGACTTGGTTTAAAGATTTGGTAGATTTTTTCGTCAAAACAAACACCTAGACATCCACAAAGATTTCAGTAAAATATTCAGTCATTCTGCAACTTTCTTTCCGTATCAAAGGAATGAAGAAAATGAATATTTTTAATCGCCCACTACATACGACCATGTTGAATTTTTCATGTCGAGCGCTGTATGCCGTGATCTATTTATTATTCTCTACACTGCGATCTAGCGGCAGATGCACGGTACTGTGGTCATTGTTAACCAGAATTCGCACGCCACGAACAGCTGACGCTCGCAACTCGCAATCTCCTTCAAGAGGCCAGCAAATTAATGTGTCACAAACGGAAAATTTAATTGGCTCTTGGGAACTGAATAAGCATCAAGAGCCCTGCCTCCCACAAGCGTTCAAAATACTGATGAAATTTTATTATTTCCCCGTAGATAACTGAAAAACTGTAGACCATTTTCCCGAACCATTTCAAGTAGCCAATAAGACAGTCTACATCGCTCCTCACAATATCCGAGGAATCCAGCACAAATTTACCAAGAAAAAAATAATAATTTGGTGATGTTAGAATACATTGGCTGAGTTTACACTTAAACATCTTAATACTTTTAACCTGCCTGGATATATTAATTTTTTAATAATTTTACCAACTCCATGGAGCAAAGTCCTCCTTCAGAAGCTAACAGTCGCTCAGATACTCATAAAATTCTCCTCGTTTTATGGAACCCAAAGTTTCACAACACCTCATCACCAGCCTCTTACCCTCAGCCAGATGAATCCAATCCACATCCTCCCTAATCTTGATGGAGTTACAGGCGTCATCTTTTTTTATGGTTCCGGAACTTTCTTTAGAGAAATGTTACGTATACGTCCAAAGACTACTAATATTTCGATACATAAAACTATTTCTTTTCTTGTTGAAATGGATACCATCTTGTCCGCATATAAGATGCGACAGCGTCAGGGTCTAATACTTTCCGAGCATTTGTAAGGACCGTAAGATCCACCTACAGTGCCACAAGGGTTTTTACTGCCGATGACGGTGCGAGGAAATGGCAGGACAGGGTCCAGGGGCAGGATCTTGTAAATAAGGTAATGATCCTTCAGGTTTTATTGATCACTACAGCAACCATCAGTTTTTAAAAAAGACTGTAGCTGCGTTAGGGTCTACCCGAGTGCTACATGGAACTCACCCGATACGCAGCTCATACAGCGGAAGTAAGAAATTAATACAACGCTTTGGTTACGAATCTTCACGGGAGGAGGATGAGATGGGTGGGACATGTGGCATGCATGAGGGGGAAGGGGGCGTTACAAGATATTGGTTGGGAGGCCTTAAGGGAGGAGACCACTGGGTAGACCTAGGTTTAAGATGGACCTCAGGGAGATAGGAATTGATGGAGCAAATTGGATGCAGCTAGCTCAGGATAGAGTCTGGTGGCAGGCTGTTGCGAACACAATGATGAATCTTCGGGTTCCATAAAGAAAGTGGACTATTTTTTGACAAGACGAGTAAACGATCGACTTTTCAAAATATATCCTGCACCACCGAGTGACTGAACTTCATGGAAGATCACTTTGGACACTTCCACACACACTGAAGGACAATATGAATTTATTTACTTACTGCTTATTTAAAAACCTATTAAGCAATTCCCTCGACTGATTTTCAGTGAACAAAACAAGAATGCTGATGTAACTAAGATAACGTGCAACAGACCCAGGATTCCATAGACACAATTTGTGCATTTCTTGAAAACCACGCTCTGATTTCTTCATACCATTTACAACACTTCATCTGCTGAAATGTTTTTTAACAGAAATTTATCATTTTTAATCTAAAAGAAGTATTGACTGATACAACAAAAAAACACGGAAATGCAGACTACAAACTCAAAAACACGGAAATGCAGACTGCAAACTCAAAAACACGGAATGCAGACTACAAACTCAAAAACACGGAATGCAGACTACAAACTCAGAAACCAGAAACTTACGTACTTCAGTAGGTTTTTATGTGGTTAAATGATCCTTCCCATCTTATCGTCTTCTCTCAAATAAAGCCAAGTGTAATTCCGTGGTTCACAGTTCACGAAGAAGGTGGGAGGAGCAGATGAGACGAGGAGTGATGGAGAGAGGTGCCCAGTAACAGTTGGTGGAGGGACAGGAAGACATGGATGGGCTTTACCAAGCGGACCCGGCCCCAGGCTGGAAACAGCAATGGATGATGATGATGATGACAGTTACGGCAGTCACAGTCATGACATGATAAGCAGTGAAACACAACCTCACTGCTTGCGAGCCTTCTTTCTCGGAGGTTCCTTCACAACACTGTCATCAGCACATCCCTTTCCCTGTGCCTCTACCCCATCCACAACAGCATCGCTTGCATTCTAGAAATAAAGATGTGAATGTTTAAGAAAATTTAAAACTCATTTATTTAATGCTTACTACAGAGAGAATTTTGTTTATAATTTCCTTTAATATCATATTTTCTACCACAGCTACAACGCTATTTGAAAACTGTAAATGGGAAAGCGTAAACTGTCCAGAAATAGCACAAGAAACTTCAGGTTCATTTAACTTGTTTGTAGAACCGAAGGCAATGTACAGAAATAAAAGATACTTACAGAAACATTCTGATCCTCGTCGTCAGTGGTATGCAAACGGTTCGAGTGGATGCGGAAGTCTCGGTATGTACCGAGCTTCACGTAATTCATCAGATTAACCTGCGAACAGTTACATGACAATAATGAGAGTCCCTTCGTACCTGATTTTGCCCCTCTTGAACAGCAAAGGTTAGGACAACATTTTTGGTGGTGTGTTTACACTAGTTAGATGCTGACAAAATCAAACGCAGTTCCTCATCTTTTATCCTTCTATATACCGTAATCTGATCAATTACTTGTATTTACATTCTTAAAATTATGCGTTAACAGTTATGTATATCACAAGTTCACGCACATCTAAATGTTAGAATTACACAATCTAATGTATAATGTTTATCATTATTCATGAAAATACAATGTGTTTCAAGAACTATAAGCGATCACATGGATAAATAATTTTACAGGCTCACCTTTGATTTTTTGGATAATTCTATGACAAGTTTCTCAAATTGTTCAATTTCAAATATAAGATTTGGGATGAATCGTGTCTCCCTGAGAACCTTTGATTTTATAAGCAATGGACCTGCTTTCTTCTTTTTAATACCATTCTTCTTATTCTTCTTCTGATTAGCCTACAAAAGAAGATATGTCTCAAATCAATGGACATGAACACAGTTTCAATAGTCAGCCTTGTCTCTCTGCTTCCTCTTCTAATATTGGAAATAAATCGTAATTAGTGTGAACTGCACAACAGATGTGACTACACCCATCTCGTAACCAAATAAGAGTTAAATTATTATTCTGAAGGAAATGCTTCCAGCAATCTCAACTTTGAACATCCGCAGGAAATGAAACGTAACCGATACTCAACATTTAGCAGTCAAAGGCTAATGGCACATAAATATAAATATTTGATGTTCGCTTCAAAGTAACATACCTCAATATAAGAAATTAAATTGTAGACATGGGGTGACAGATGCTTCCCTGCCAGCCTGACAACCATCTCAAACCTGCAAATGAAAGGAAGAAAAAGAATACTGAAAAACTTTGTGTTCATTCCAGTTTAAGCATTGAAGAAAATTATGAACTTTCATCAACTGCACGTACGAAAAACACAAGCGTAGGGCTCAAAGATTCACTGATAGACTTCATTAAACTCACTGCTCAATTCTGAGTACCTCTTTAACATAAGAGTAGCCAAAGGGAAGGGAGACAATAAAAACCATGAAGATGGCTGTCTTCTGAGTTATTGTGCTGCGTAGTCCGGTAAATGTTTACCGATGTTTCAGAGGTACTTGCTGCCTCCACCATAAGGAGTACCTCCGAAACACTGATTTCTCTCAAACCACGTGGTGCTACAACCCAGAAGACAGCCATCTTTATCGTCACCACTCCGAGAACCTCAAATCCTAACCAAAAACCACATATAACTTACAGAATCTGATAAAATATATCATAACTTCATAAAAATTAAAATTATCACCGTACCTGGCATTCTGAAATGCAGGGTTTCCCTTGTTAGATCGTAGAATAAAGTATTTGGTCAGCATGGTGAGATTAATATATTGCTGAGTCAGAAGCTTCAGGACAGCATCAGTTGTGGGGCCTGGGTCGAGCGCCAGGCTGCTCATATAGTTCAGGATCTTCAAACAGTGGCTGACTTGATGCACGACATCACACTCCCTGCTTTTCAGAATCTCTCGTTCTGAAAAACATCATTCATGAAGAATGGAACAGTAAATTCTGAGGCTGGCAGTCAACAACAAATACAATATACATAATTCAACACTCTTTGCTCAAATACAAAAAATCAAACCCATGGCACTTCATGCGAAATTTGTGTTCCACAGAGTACAACTCATACAACTTATTGACCAATCACTGCAGTCCTGCCAATTACAAATTTAATATATCTTCCTATATTTCTGTTTCAAATGTTAACACTTACTTGCTTGCAGTGTGTCGGAAACTGCGTGTGTCATGGCAGTGTATTCCGCCTGCAATCGTGACAGTACCCAGTCAACATGCTTCAGCATTTGACTCACAGTGTCACACAACTGAGACAACACTGCACTTTCACAGCCAGCCCTGACAATACAGTACGATGTGTGCTCTTGAACTTCTTCATCCTGCGGAAAATGAAGTGTCAGGTGACGGCCAACCAGCGCGTTTTATGAGATCGTGGCGGGCACCAACCAATTAACAAAGCCAAATTTTCTTTTCTCCGGACAAATAAGATATGGACACCAAATAATACACAAAACAACACGACGTTTAATGATACAAGAAACCACGCGATCAAAAATACGTAGTTTTATAAGTACAATTATTATTACTCAAGTGGGAAGTTCGTGTGATGTTTGGCGCTGCATTTCATCGGCCATTTTTTCAAATTTGGGAGTGTAGGATGATGTTGCTGCTCGCAAACAATCGTCAAGATGGGCGTCAGTAAGTCGAGACCTGCGCTTTGATTTTATGAGGTTCGTGGTTGAACGGCCTTCATTATTCAGTATAACCTCTTTCCGTAACAACGCGGGCACCCAAAAAAAAGCCTTGGCGGGTGCCATGGCGCCCGCAGGGCACCGCATTGGGGACCACTGCTCTACAGTAATTCAATAGTAAAGTGAAACTTGTGCAAAGACAGATGAGAAAGCAGACTTAAGTCAAGAGAAATGAGATTTTATAGAAATAAGACTGGATTGTAAAGAGTTCCAGACATCACAGTACAATGATTAGCACTTCCATCCTGCACTTCGGAGGTCCCAGGATCAGATTTGGCAACAGGCTAGACTCACTGACAGATATTTTATGATTTTTCACATACCCTCCATGCAAATTCTGGAACAGTATCTTAATAAAGGCCCTGACCACCTCCTTCCATACCCCTTCCAGTTCATCATTCACAATCATAATATTACTTGACATAACAAACCTACGAAATTTAAAAGCATAATTGAATTATCAATCAAAATATTTAAATTATGATACACATTACGGTACTTCCCACAACCAGTCCACAATAAATGATGCGTCAGTCATGAGAATTACAGTTTCTGATTGTGGACTCACTTCATCAACAGTCCCCATGATTTCAAAAAGTTGCATAGTGATGTGGTCAAACAGCTGACTGGATCCCTTGCAGCGAACCTCGAGTTTAAAAAGCAGAGACAATATCGCTTTCACTAGGTACACATCTGACAACACTTTGTCTTTCACAAATGTCTTCACCCAATTCAGCACCTTAAACAACAAGATTTGATAAAATAGTTTAACACCTATTACTTTGTCGGAAAGCATAAATCCATAATTTTTAAATGTAAATAGACTTTGATACCGGACAGAAGTCAGATGTAGCCAAGACAGTAAAAAAGTACTTTAAGAGACGCAAAGCAAATTTAGACTTGAACTTGAACTAAGAACACAAAAAATCATATGTAGTAACATGTGGTAGAACTGCTGACTTCCTGCAGAAAGAAAAACTTATGTAACAGCAAGCAAACGGAAGTCATTTTTGGACTACGCCTTGTTCGCCCGTAGTAACGACAGACTGAGAATGCTATCTCACCGTAGTACTGGCATCATTACACGGGATCTTCAATGTGAACAGTCCGAGGCCTTGTATGAGCAACAGCGGGATCTTCTTTGCTAATGGGTCATCTTCATCATCACCTGCCTCGGACAGAACGCTCGTCAGATTTTCCTCATACTTTGACACCAGAGCAAGCAGCTGTTCCGTCAGACCTTCTCTGACTGGTACAGTTCCTATATGCAGACATACGACACACTGTATAACAAGATTATTAATGAAGCCGGAAATAATAATGAATAAGTTATACAGAAATTGCAGTATTAGTGGAACAAATTCTCATTAGAATGAAGTAACTATACTGAATGTTATAGTCCAATGGTTAACACTAATGCATCATATTCTGGAGAGTTCTAACCATTCAGCTATGACGCTCAGTAGAAGTAACTTAAAAATTAATTAAGTTAATCACATGTAGGATTTGAAGATTTCACGGCAGTGAGTCTGAAGACGGCTGTCTTCTGGGTTGTTGCGCTGTGTAGTCTGCTCGATGTTAACCAACGTTTCAGTGGTCATACTGCCTCCGTCATCACCCTGATGACAAAGGCAGTATGACCTCTGAAACTTTGGTAAACATCGACCAGACTACACAGCGCAACAACCCAGAAGACAGTTTTTTAACCCAGAAGACAGTCATCTTTAGTCATTCACACTAAATTGACATACCCACTTCTTCCAGAAATTGTTCCAGCTTATCCTCATAATGAGAACACATAAGGCTGAATAATTCATTAAAGCACTCCAGTGCAAGGGCAGCTGTCCCAACGTGTAACTGAGAGAACTCCCGCAGTCTGATCACACAGTTGGTGTACAGCAATCTATAACACAGGTAAGGAACGTCAGTCCACTCTTCACAACCAATTTAAATGCTAACGTTTTCACTGCGGAGCATAGAATAAAAATAATATAAGCCGCTAACAGCCTGTTTCCATGCAACTCAAATTACTGTAAGTTCATGCTTTATGGCACTGTTTCTCACAATTATCAATCACAAATCTATTTTCTGGAAGTGTACGGCATCTGCCAAGTGCATGCTCACAGCCCTTACCCACTGTTTGTTCTGTTTCAAAATTACCTGCCAATATTGACGAAGGAGGTGAGCATGGATGTAGACTTCTTCCTGCGCTTTTCATCTTGCGATGCTTTTACCAGTTTGAGTGTCGTGTTCATGACGTAACTACTGAACTCATGTCGACCTTTCACACAATTAGCTGCTTCGGCTGTACACCATGGCACAGAGTTCCTGGAGAAAATCATTAGCAGATCACCTAACGAGACTCAAAAAATTACTTAAGAACAGTATACTGGCTGAAATTCAACCAGGTAACTCCAATACACAAATCAGATTTGTTACCAATGAGTCAAATTGCTCAATATTAAGCAGATCTCCTTATACAATGTGTCAGTAAATCTTATAATTGTTATTACTTCAAAATACTTATAATTTTAACACTACTTCTAAATATATTAACAAATTTACAATTTAGCAAAACACATTCCTCATTCATAACAAAACAAAAGAACAAGTTAAAATAATAACAGATATAATTAAAATTATCCTTCAACATACTGCTAGCGTCACTCCGTCATATGTTCAGAGGTCCAACACAAAATTAATACTGACTGTATGAAATTAAAAAGTATAAGGTTGGGGTGACCTGTAATAATACAATGTCCATACGAAATTTTGTAAAAAATTATAAATGTCTTCAGTCACGCGCACACCAAAGCCACTTCTTTTATGAAAGTTAAGAAGACTAATAGGAAACTGTTCGATATCACTTACATGTACAGAATGCAGAGCATCTTGTATGTTACATGACAATCAAGCACAGTGTGTGGGAACATAAATGCAACTGTTCGACCTTTCCCAGTTGCTTTTTTGCCAACGTCCATCTTTTTTGGCTGTGTATCTGAATCTCTGCTAGTCTTCTTCCCAGCTTTGCCATTATTCTAGGGCACACACAAGCAAGTAAGGGATAGTATATTCATTATAAAGTCTCTCCTACCACAGTAACTCCATTTTCACATACGTGTTCTGGTGACCAAGATATGGCCTTATAACCATTAGGCCTGGTGTGGGGAAAATCCTACTAGCCTATTTACATTACTTCACTTTTAAGTTGAATTCCTTCAATTTGAATTTCTGATTGAAATTCTTTGATGACTAGATAGTCACACATAATTAAAACATTTGCAATGTTTACATCATAGTCAGAGTTCTAAAGTGATGTAAGAAAGTTACATGTTTCAAGAAAATGTACAATAACTGAGCGTACAAAAATTTCTGTGTTCACTGAAAAAAATGGCCTGGCAGTACAGGTTTAAATAACCACCTGACTTTTACTCAGATAATTTTAGCATGGTATGTATAAACCAAGCCTTGAGAAGAATATGTGTACAAATTGAAAACTCTGTTACGTGGTTTCTAACATCCCAATCTGACTAGAAAACTTTACCTTAGCGAATTCTGCCAGCATCCTATAGCCTTTGAACAGGCCGTTGAGTTTCCGCACTTTTTCAGCAGAAGTATCTACGGTGCATGAAGAGACAGTGTAGCCCATAAGAGCTTCAAATACTCCAAGTATTTGACACACAATCTCTTGCTTCTGCTGACTCTCAGGCACAACATCCAGAAGATTCGTTGTCTCATCCTACAAAGTAACAGACAACTAACAAATTCAGTATGCACCAAATCTTCAACCTCATAAAAACATTATTAACCATTGATCTCTAACTGTGGCCTTCTTAGCTGTTACACCGCATGGTGTTGTAGGTGGTTAGAGACGTTTCACGAGAACATATTACCTACATCTTCAGAGTTAAGTGTGAGGCGATATATTTCTATGAAACGTTGGTAACCACCTTCAACACCAAAGGCAACACAATCCAGAAGACCATAGCTAACAACTCACTGCCAAGAAAACCACAAAATTTGCATTACTCTTCAATTTCCAAATAATTCCTCCCTCTTAAAATTACAATTTTATCATATCAAATACTCATGCTTCCATAATAAGTGGGAAGACACATAAAAGTTAATTATCACTCTTACATAAAGATAAGCTAGAAATAAAAAAAAAGGAAAGTGGTTAAGAAGTATGCAACACCTACCAAACCGAAGTCTTCAAGAGAGCACTTCAACATTCGCAAGCACAGCGACTCCAGCACACTGATGATTTTTGTGGGACTACTGTCAGAAGAGTTAGGGGTTGCAACCTGCTGAAGTGAAAACACCAGGTGTCCCAAAGGTTCCTGAAAAAATCATGAGAACTGATTCAAAAGCTGTTCACTTACAACATAATAACAAATTATTATCAGAGATTCTGCAGATCACTTTCAAAGCTTAAAAAATATTTCAAAATATTAAGGTAGGACCCTGCACCTTGTCGTGGTGGTGGGGCTTGATTACCTCAGTGACCCCAAGAGCTACTGGTAGGGCCCCCCTAGCCAGATTGGTCGAGGGGGGAGAGGTCAGACTAAGACAGGTACCCTGGTCCTCCAGGTTGGGGGTCGGCCGCAAGGCTAACAACCTTGCACCGTAAAAAGGAAGATGTTTCGAAACCTCAACCTCGGACAGACGGACCTAACAGAGGACCGAATGGAAGAGGAGAATTGAGGAGGCCATGGACCGAATACGGACTGGAGAGCCATAGAAGAAGAAGAAGATTAAGGTAGGATCATGCTATGAATAGAGATTAGATAGATTTGATGAAGAAAGATTTAGACAGGACATTTGGGAAGAAGGAGAGGCAATCATAACTGATCACCACAGGGATAACACATTACAATGACATTAACTGTACATAGTCAAAGGAGGTTTTTAACATATTCATTTCACCCTGTTAACATTTTATTTTCTAAACATAAAACAGAAGAGATCTGATGTAACATACCAGTAGCTCAACAGAGATGTCTTTGAGAACAACAGCCTTGGTGAAATTGATAGGTGGCAGAGTGTCAGTATCAGACTCGTAGAACTGACCGAAGTGGTTAATCAGCATGTCTTGCACATATTCTCTGAGCTCTGGGTTTCGTGTCACTCCGGAATGCAGACCTGTCAGCATAGCAGCATAGATACAACGGTATTCTAAAATGGTTTCCTACAATAAAATGTTGTATAATTTCTAAAACTGTCCATCTGATAAACAACTCATTTACAGCGCCAAACATCACACTAACTTCCCACTTGAGTAATAATAATTGTACTTATAAAACTACGTATTTTTGATTGAATGGTTTCTTGTATCATTAAACGTCGTGTTGTTTTGCGTATTATTTGGTGTCCGTATCTTATTTGTCCAGAGAAAAGAAAATTTGGGTGCCCGTAGGCACAAAAAGGTTGTGGACCACTGCTGTAGGGGATAACTTCTGTCTACATCTATGATGAACAGAACATCAGTACACCTCACAAATTGGTAAGAGGCTAAGAAAATGGTTGGTTCCGTCAGTTCCACTCATGTGTTTCGCATAGTTGATGACACAATCTGGCATATCATTGGTGGCTTTTTGGGGGGGGATTTAGAGGACATGTCATTTTATTTGTGAATGTGATCATCATGGTGACAACAGATATTACTAACATAAATTTATAGACATAAGCTGCTTTGAGCTGGCTCAAAGTAAGGTCTAATTATAGTCTCTTGCAGTATAAATAAGCCTTTGAAGTTCATCATATCAGTGGCTGAATAAGTAGCGCGACTCACCTTCATAAAGACGAAGCCTTACATCAGCCTGCTGCATAAAACACCTGCGTAACACTCCCAGCAGTTCTAGACAAATGGCCTCATTGTTGCTGCTAGAATTTCCAGTTTCCATGTCAATCTGGAATAAATTCTCCAGCTTATACATACTAATTGAGCTGTACAAGCTCGATCAATAAAGTGACTGGTACAGGCTACAAGACTGGAGTTTGAATTATGCCACGGACTATTTCCCATTCTAAACCGAGAACACCGGTCACATTCATCGAGCTGACAATCTAACTTTTCACCGGGGACTACTTGGAGCTGGAACAGCCCAATATTTAGCTACCGTTTCCTTGCATACAGAAGCAGCATCAATTTTACCTGCGTCAACAAGCTGGGTCCTGGAGACTGACGTGGATTGCTGCTATGGTAACTTGACTGACTGCTGCTCAGTACTGCCAACCCTTTCACATCGAGATGTTTCAGTAGCTGCAGGAATCCTGACACAGCCATCTTCCTTGTTCCCACATTACTACAAAACAACCATGCCATATCACACAGCATCCTTAACAAACACGGAAAAGTTGATAAAGTAGAAAAAGGGAAGATGGATCATTCAGAAAAGGAAAAATATGTATCAGGGCAGACTCTGTAAACACAGAGAAGACTTTTCCAGGTATTCACCCATACAGTGGCCTTACAGCATTGCTATAACAAAGTGTCCGCCTTGCAGGTTAGATGTACCAGCTCGATGTGGCAGACTCATTCTGACTTCAGAACATAGGCATCTCCAGTGAGTCAATTACTAGCATTTTATGGCATCCTAAGGTTCATTACCAAGTACACAGGACTCAAAATGGGTTCCTATCCTGAACAAATATGAGTCCAGTTTCTGATCAGGCAACTAGCTCTCATAAAGTGAGCAGTCACATCTAACTTCATACAGTACTTAAATTTATATTACATATATTACCTTCAGTTGGCACTGCATCATTAAATAAATCACGTATTAGCTTTTATCAGCTTCCCCATAATTCACACTGTGAACTGAAAAGACTGGAAAATATTTTCTAACTTGAACGCAAAAATAATTCTGATTCGGATGTGTTAAGAATTACGCATCGGAATTTGGAAACCCGACTTACCGAGCAAAGAGAGCCTTGCGCAATACCATGATGAGAACATCTCGCAGAGATGGAAATGAACGCACAATTGGCAACACTGCATAAACCACATTCTCAGCGACGGGTCCTGGTAACTGTGTAAGCATCTCCAAGAGGGTAATGATACTGGAACGGTATTCATTTAATACCAATGGTACAGACATCGACAACTGATGCAGGCAATCTGTGGAACACACGTTTTTGAGAATGAAAGAAATTACAGTTGAATATGACCATTCACACACAACTCTATAGCATGGCACAGAAAAAATATTTAACTAACACCACAAAAGAAAAGTCCTTAAAAAGACAAAACTTGGTCTCACCTAGTCAAGAAATGTCTTGCTTTGAAAGAAACTTGAACGTTCATCACTGCATTCACGAGACCACCACCAGATCCTAAGCCAGATAGATCCAGTCCACACTCACAAACACAATTTCCGTAATATCCATCTTGATTTTATCTCCCATCTATGCCTAGGTCCTCACTATTTCCATAATGTTGCTCACATTTTTCATACCTCCCATGCGAGCTACATGTCCCACTCATCTCATTCTCCTCAATTTGATTATTCTGATACTACAAGCAAAGAGTACAAATTATGGAGCTCCTTGTTATGGATTTTCTTCAGTCTACTGTCACTTCTTCAATATTAACTCAAAAATATTCAAAAAATATTTGGAAAAATAATACAACTATACCAAGTGAAACAACATAAAATCACAATTACCATAAATACAGAATAATGGATGCCTGCTACTATGGCAGCAATAAGATACATTACTTGCCTGTGTACTGCGTAACAGCCTGATCACTGATGATGCAATCAGTCAGCCTCTGCAGAACACAACCAGTTACTTTATTATGCTTCTTTACAAGTTTCACTAGTACAGAAATGCCTAATCTCCACAGCTTCTCTGCCGAGGTCTCCCTCCCCTTTGCAGCCTTTTCTCCCAACAGTATAAAGGCCAGGTTCACCATCCCCTCTATCACCGAACTGCGCTCTCGCAGACTAGAAAAGAAGACATTACATCATAAATAAGTGTGGGCACATCACAGACACAACAGGCACTGTAAGAATTATTTTTCCAGTTTGACATGAGAACTGGGAACAATTCCAAGGATCAAGACAAGAATGAGAATTTTCTCTTCTAGACCAAATTAAGCTGTGATTTCCACTGTTTTCAAAATACACTAGAGTGTATAAACTATTCCTTTTGATATCAATCTTTCTTTAATAAAAAATGTTCGTAAATATTTAATCAACTCATAAGTACGTTTATTAAACTTTTCCGCATAAAGGGCTTAGTGACATAAGATAAGGCACTGGATTTCTCATGTGTTTATACACGTCAATGGAGGCCATAAATATTGAGAAACAGCTTTTATTAATGTCCTATTGGAAGTACACTACAATGCAATAAGTGCTCCCAGTCCAAAAGTGTTTTCCTTCATACCCGTTTGGTGGATTCACACTAAACGGCCTAGTGTTATATATAAGCTCGTTTCACAAAAGAATCCCTTTTATATGATCAAGAAAATAATTTAAAGAGATCGAAGCCAAAGTCAGTGCAATTGTCCTAGAAAAATGCCCACAATGACAGTATACCTGTTCTCCATGAGTTTCGTCAGTACAATGTCTACATTACAGGTACTGGGATTCACGTTTCGGAACCAAGCGGACTCAACTTTCCTCTCTTCCTCCTGCACTACCCTCTGCATAGTGCACTTCAAGACATCAAAGACCTGCACCAATCAACAAAACATCTCTTAACGCCACATCCATTACTTCAGTAACCAAGACGCATTAGAAAGAAATCAAAAGATTAATTTGTTGATGCTCGACCTCTTTATATGTTATTCTTCCTTACTAGAACACAAATTCACCTTTAATTTCAAAACTCAAATATCATTAACTTTTATCATCCATATGATACTCCTTAAACACAATCAAGTTTACTGTGAATCACACTAACATAACACTAAACCATTAACTCTGGAGTTAAAATCCAGCTGGCAGCCCAGTAACGCAAGGGTTTAAATACCCAATTATCGTCCAAAAGAAGTTTCCTGGAAAATGCACTGTACGAGACGCAGCAAATATGAGAGAGACGAGAAATGCACACATTTCATATCTAACTACAGATGGAGGATAACATTAAAATGTATCTTAGAAAAATGACGTGGACTGGATTCAACTAGCTCACGGTCCAGTGGCAGGATCTTAATATACATTGTAATGAATCTCTCGGTCCCATAAATGACAAAGAATTTCTTGGCCAGTTGAACGAACTCTTAACTTTTCCAAAGACGTTTATCCACGATACTGATACCGACTCTAACAGTTCAAAATTCACTGTACAGTACTACCAAACATTCACACTGGTATCACCTCACACGACTTCCAATACAAGTTCTGGGGCATCTGTTACATTTTTCATAAACTTCAAAAAATTCTTGATGCTGGCATGCCCAAATCCAGCAGACTGATTGACATGGAACAGTACAGTACCCTCCGCAAACTGCGTTTCACATTCGCTGGCTGCAATACCATGAACACCAGTGTCAAACGCTGCCTCGTTAGACTATTTCTAATTTAATAAATAACTGAGTATATGCATATAAAAAAATAGATCTAGGTGATGATAAATTTGGGATCTCACAATGCACTTTACACAGAGCGAAACCTCCGTAAAGCAACATTTATAAAATTCAACAACTTTTAGGCTGTATATTATGGAAGTCCTCTGTATATATGAGAACGTAGTCTACCTGACTTTGCAAGACAAACCACTGGCTTTACATAAAGATTTCTGTCGCAAAAGTACCAGTACTCTGCACCTGAAAAAGTGGCTCTTAATCAAGAAACAGTTGTCTGACACCGAGGGCTCCATAATGCACTTCCCACTCACCATGGTGAGTCAACAGAGATTGAGAATTAGTACATTTTTGGCCTTGTCTAGATGTAATAAAAATATAATAAATTATTTATTAGAATAAATAATACATAGAAAAAAGTTTAAAAAACTGTATTATTTTCATTCTCCAGCCGTAATATTTAAATATCAACTTCAGTCGCCGTGAAAGTTTCACTTTATAAACTACAAAAATTTTTGTATCAAGCACAAAATGAGACTACAGGTGAGTGAATTCAATTAAGTGAGTAGATTTAAGTCATATTTCTAGAGCCAAGCCATTACTGATATTACAGGTGAGTGAATTCAATTAAGTGAGCACATTTAAGTCATATTTCTAGAGCCAGGCCATTACTGATACAGAAGTTTTGTGTGCGTGCGCTGGTATGCGTGTGTAGAGAGAAAGAGACACGTTCTTCTGAAAAGTACTCCAATTTCATTGTATGAAGTTCTGGCTCTTAACTTAATAAATATTCTTATTGTAATACATACCCAGTCCAATAGAATCACTGTCGGCAAGCAAGTCGATACTTTCCAAGTCGCTGGCTTTTGAAAGAAGTCGGCTATACAGCCGTGTGCAGAAATACGCCTGCAGTCTAAGGAAAAGAGCTACGCCGTGTTGGTTCTCACACAGACGAAGTAGCTGATGCACCAAAGGTGGTATTTCTGGTGGACCTAGCTGCTCAAAGCTTGCACACAACTTGTTCACAACCTGCAAGTGCTGTTCGGCGGACATTGGTACCTCACTGTAATAAAAAAACATATTTATTCACAAGTAACTTGAAAGCAAGACTAAGAAAACTAAACTCCATACAACAGACAGCTATCTTGAGTGGCTGATGGTGGCACTGGAACCTGTCCTAAGCCAGCTGAATCCAAACCAAACCCTCACATAATATTAATTTAAAATCAATTTTAATATCATCTTAACATTATGTGCAAAATAACAGGTTTATCAGCCTGTAACTGTTTCTGTAAATCCTTGATTCACAGAGTGATGCTCACTCTCTTGTGCATTTACGTTTTCTTCGGACTAGGGTTCTACTTACGTGAACATTGAAGCTAGAGCTGTTACAATTGAAGGCTGCCACTGCACCATCAGTAATGATCTGATGACCTCAGATTTGTACTCCAAGCCACTCACATCCACACCAGAATGGTTCACCAAATCATTGGTGACAAGAACACTGAGTATCTTTGGCAGCAGATCTTTCCAACTGCAAGATTTTAACCAACAATAAAGATACTTGTTTGCAATGCTTGTTGATTACTTTTTTTTTATTATTATTACACACATACATGCCATATTATATTTGATTCTCAGGTAATAGGCCCTGATGATTTAAAGCCATTAATACCAAAGTCAACAACTGAACATGATTCTAAACATTCTTAGTCATATTAATACCAATTATAGGACAATAAATAGTATGAGCTAACAGAGGACCGAATGGAAGAGGAGAATTGCGGAGGCCATGGACTGAATACGGACCGGAGAGCCATAGAAGAAGAAGATGATATAGTATGAGATTGGGATAGCCTTCAATGGCACAACATTCATAACAAATTTAATCAAAAGCCATAGCACAGTTCCAGATTTGATACATGAAGGCAGAAACAATCAACCTTGTACACTTTTATTTTATGCACACAGTAAGAATCAACTGTTTTTTAAGTCAACAGACTGTTATCAGGGCCATTTCATCAATCAATAACACCATATATATTGAATGCCTGGCAAATGCATGATGATATTTGGTATAGCTCATGAAGAGAATGGGAATATATTAGCTAAGATGCCAAGATAAAAACCATAAAACAAAATTTTGCACTCCCAAGAAAAGCAAGGTGAGACAGTGGGCTTTGATTAAGCAGGTCAGTGAACTGGGTGCTTTGTTCATTATGATTTTAAATTCAGATGAGAGCAAGAAAAGAGAGAAATAATGGTGGGAGACTAAGGGACAAGAAATCAGCACAGTAACAACACAAAAGACAGTAATTGAGGAACAGAAAAATGTAAGTCAAAGCCAATCTGAGACACCCACTCACCTTGTCTGCTCTCCATCACTATGCTGAATGCAGTGGATGCAGTATTCACAGAACTGGACCAGGTGTGCAGAAGTCAGCTTCTCTACCTCCAGTGCCAGCCTACTCACAATAGCATTCACATGCCTGTTGTGTAATTTCTGTGACTGTAGTTCCTTAAAAACCTTCTCTGTCACCTGCAAAATGTTCACTTCTTTGGCTCAGAATTCTTAAACACATATGTCAACAACTTACTACTTGAGTATCATACCTGGACTACACGATGCTTTAAAGACACTGGAAGAAAATCAACTTATAAAAACTACAGTAATTGCAAATACAGTGGATTCCAGTTGATTAGGACACATCAGGACTAGAACACTTTGGCCCAATTAAGCAGCTGCCCCAATTAACCAATGGCCTGTTTAACCAGAATCTACTGTACTATGTGCCAGGCACAGGCTGTATATAATAATCAAAACAATAAGTGTAGGAAATGACTAAGCTGCGCAGCTATACAGCTCAGAAGGCAGCCATCTTCTAACAATATGTATAGCAGTAATCAGTTACCTTGAAGCGTTTCACCTCCATTGAACTTTTCTGGGTCATACCTTGGTAAAGGTAATTGAGTAACTGGGGAGCATCTGAATGACATATCTTGTGTGCAATCAGAGAACAAATCTGCAAACAGGTATATACATTAACATACTGCAAAAAAAAATTATCCTTAATCATGCGTGAGTAAAAACAAAATCACAATCCTGGCATGTGCCTGGAAGGGCTGAGAAAACCACAAAACCCTGCCATGGCATCCACTCTCCAGGCCAAAATTTAAACCCAGGGCCTACAGAACACAGAACAGGACAGCTAACCACTTTCCTGTCATGTTCCACTCATGACATGGTGGATGATATTTTATACATTAACATGATATAATAGTACAAAACTCTGAGGTTATGTTTAATAAATAATTAATAATGCTTCATTAATCATTAAATAATTTCAACTTTACTTATATACAGATGAAATGTTGGCGTCATGATTTTAGTTTCTCTTCTCTATGCGATTTTATACGAAACATCGTAAACTATGCTGATCTTTCCCAACATATTTAGTACAGCCCACATAAGTCTGGAATTGTCAGAATTACCTTTTCATCTTCCAAACTACTCACAAAATCTTCAAGAGCGGCGATATCATTCTTCGTACCCAGTGCCTTCAATTTTACTTCTATGTCTTTTATTGTGACCATCTTACTTCTCTTTTTCCATTAAGGACGAGTACAACAAACAATAACAAACATAAGTAACATTAAAACACAATTATACCGTTGCCACACACTTAATAACAGCATAAAATGCGGGAGCTCACTACTCTATCTTCATTGGTATGATCTACGAAAAGAAATAACCTTCATATCGGCTGAGCTACCGCCACTTTAGAAGATGCATCCATAAATGTATGCATGGCAGAGAGGAAGGCCGTATTACCCGCGATATGTATTATTTCGTAATCCTTCCGGAAGTTTTCATACAGTGTGTTGGTAAACCCTTCTCCTGACCTAGGTATACATTGAGGTTAAGAGTCAAGCACAAACACAATACTAAAAGTAAAAGTAAAACTGTCCCACTAAACGTCATGCAGACGCTTGTGAAGACAGTATGGCGCCTCATTTTTAACATCGGCACGAGTGGGGAATGGTCAGCGTCACGACCTGGCCGCACTTTACAACATTGTGTATTATAAATACACTGGAACACCCTCCAAACCACAATGGAAAGAAAATCATCACAATACTGAAAAATGCAAATAATGGGACAACCATGTCAACTCAAGGGGTTATCAATGGGTTTGCACCCAGTTTCAGTGAACTTGGAATTAGTGGTGGCCACAGTGGCACTGGGACAGATTTTTCAGAGATTCCTTCAGTTGTCCACGGCCATTATCATTCCATCACTATAGCCACATTCTCAGATATGCAGAGTGGAAAATGGGTCCATTAGCAGTAGTCATTCCACTGGGGCCTAGTCTCACCCCATTACAACACACAAAAGTTTACAAATGGCTGGAGAAAATTCCACAATAAGAATCTTCATTACTACGTTGATAATATCAAGGAGAATGTGTGGGGCATGAATACACATGTAAAAAATGTTCACAAAGTAAAATAAATTAAATCAAGGGACTGAGTGGCAGAGATTTAAGGAAGGGCAGTGGATGGATACACAAGAATGGTGACTGAGAATCAACAGAAGTAAAATACATTAATAAACTGATTTTTCAAATCATTTGATATAAGTGTCATACACAAACTTTATTACACTCTCATTCATTATAAACTCCTAAGATAAGTATTACATGTAAACAATATGCATTCTTTGAGTCATTCAACAGATTTTGATAAGACTCGTTACACAGCATTTTTATCGCAAAACCCATACCATGTCAAAAACTGCAACTAGTACTATTATTGTCAGATATATATATATTACATATCAGGGCATTATTAAAAATTTGCATTGTCTGAAATTAAATATTATATTATAATTGGGGAAAAAGAAAAATCCTTAAAATATAATGATGTACTTCAGTTCTGGAAGTTATCTCAAATAAAAAAGCATACAAAAGAATGCAGATAAAAACAGTTCTGGAACTGTAAAGACAGACAATATATTTCATAAAACTGTGTGATGTTATATAATAAAAGAGAGTGAAAAGTTTAAAATAGTAATAACTTGTTACCATTTCCTCAATTACGACTATAAGTATCATTCTGAATTTCACCTTCCCTTTTACCAAAATTATAGATGCCAAACCAGTGTAATGAATATATAATTTATTTCTTGATGGCAATTGGCATTGATTGCATTTTGAAGTATGACAGTTCACTGATAATTTCATTTAGCCTTGCTCAAATGCTCCTTCAGAAGCGTTTCCAACTTGCGTGAATCTTCAGCAAATTTGCGAATACCCTCAGACAGCTTGTCAGAGGCCATCTGATCCTCATTCAGCATCCAGCGGAATAGTTTCTCATCCACAGTCACCTTTTCAACATCGGCCTTAAGAGCTGCAAATTAAATGTCTTAGATATGTTAACAACTCATAACAAAAATAAACGTGTGAACAAAATATCTAGTGTTACCATCTAATTTGTATTTCTATGAGAACTTGTTCTGGCAATTACAGTCACCTTTCTCATAAATTAATTTACAAGGGGACACGATCTAAGATTCAATTTAACGATTACATTATTTTAGACGTAATTCATATTATTCCAGTTCAAGTCTCTCAACTTTAAATCTCACTTATTGCAGGTTTTCCTTTAATAAAAGGAATATTACTGTATTTTGATTAGTAACCCACAAACTATTTACAGTATAACCAATTTCCATATAGTTTCTAATAATCTCTAAAATTTCTATATGCTTTGTTCTTGCTAAGCACATTATTTTTCCAGCATTATTTTTCAAATTGACCTTCTGATGTCATGTGACATGATATTGCATCTTCTAGAACACAATATTGCAGAAGCTTGGCTCAGACTAAATACTACTGACTACTGTGACACACTTCATGTCTTATAGATTTTAGAATATCGCTCCACTACAAATAATCTTCTTACATATCAAACTTTGTTCATTTTTATTTTAAAATTCTAACTCCACCACATTATAAGTAACAACAAACATACCAGACTTCTCGGTAAGAGACTCGTACACTTCTTCGTTACTTGAGTCAAGCTCCTCCAGCAGCTTGGGGCTAATTGTTAGCAAGTCACAACCTGCTAGTGCTTTTACCTGACCTAAAAACATAAAGGCTATATAGAAACCAACACCAAAAATCTCTGCTACTGCCAGATATACCAACATGTCTACATCTATACAGGTTCTTAATTCACCCAGCTCTATTTGTACGATGTATTAATACTGGGTGGCCATGACCCAAAAAGCTGTACGTGTGACTCTCATGTCTTTAAAAAAGAATTTTATTATGGAATTGTAGGCAATTTAAATAATTTCCTGGTCATGTTGCAACAATTCAATGAAAGCATGACATTAATTAGAAATGAAATAACACAAGATGCCCCCTTAAAAAGTTTTCAGTCTGCAACTAACTTTATAATTAACTCTTACCTCAATGATCATGATCTTGGTATGATGTTTGATCACACATTCCCAGGGTTCAATTTTTCAACTCACCAACATTTCTGAAGGATGCTCCCATGACAACTGTCTTGTATCCAAACTTCTTGTAGTAGTTGTAGATTTTTGTAACAGATGTAACTCCTGGGTCTTCGTGCGATTCATACGTTTTCTGGCCTGTATTTGCTACGTGCCAGTCAAGAATTCGACCCACAAACGGTGAAATAAGTGTAACTCCTGCCTCAGCACATGCCACTGCTTGGCAGAAGGAGAAAAGTAATGTCAAGTTGCAGTGGATCCCATGAACTTCTTCCAATTCTCTGTTACAAAGTGAAAATGTAATAATGCCAAAGTCGCTGCAATGCACAAACATGTCCGCTAAACCAGATACTAAGATGCATGCACTCACTTTGCAGCTTGTATGCCTTCCCACGTAGATGCAAGCTTAATGAGAATCCGGTCTTTCTTTATCCCCAGCTCTTCATACAGCTGAATCAAATGCCTAGCCTTCTGTATACTGGCTTCTTTATCAAATGACAACCTTGAAACAGAGAAAAGCATCTTTAAATCTGACAATGAAACAATTTAAAATCTCTATAAACCACTGTAATGTCATAATTAGAATCACACTAGTAATTTAACTAGTGGCTCCTGTGTATAACAAAAGTAAATTGACAATTACATTGTATCCAGGCTTCCTCTTACAGTGCTTCATCACAAAGGGCACTTACTCAAAACAGAAAAAAGTAAGATGTTAAGGGTCAGACAACTGCTTACAAAACTCACCTAGCATCAACTTCTGTAGAGACTCGTCCTGGAACAATTTTCAGTATCTCATTTCCAAACAAGACAAGCAACATATCCGCCGCAGCCTTCAGTTGTTTAACAGGGCTAGAATAAGATTTATTCATGTCATACCTGCCAACTTAAATATTCCAAATATCAAAGATATTTTAATATCTTGAATTTTTTGACACATATGTAACTAAATTCAAGCCATGGCTATTAAAATACATGCAATGTGAAGGATGCTCATACCTAAGTTCCTCCCAGTGTTTGGAAATTTTTAACACAGGAAAAGTAAGCACAGACTTCTTTTACCCCTTCCATAACTTTTAATTTATGTACTGCAGCAAAGAGTCACAAGTCAATGAAATACAGGTGGCTCACAGTAAGTACTCACAAAGTCAAACAATTATTTTCAAATACTAGGTAATAAGTACATTAAGTTCTCTGCATAGTGCAGCCTTATGGGTTGGCACAACTTGAGAGGAGCAGCACTATTTTCAAATACTAGGTAATAAGTACAGTAAGTTCTCTGCATAGTGCAGCCATATAGTAACCTTATGGGTTGGCACAACTTGAGAGTAGCAGCATATGGCTCTTCTGCCTTAGTCTGCACTCACAAAAGAACTCACTACATAATCAGTCCACACACCAGTCATGCTCCTTGTCAATGTTACTTATCAAACCAATATACTTAAGAGGTTATCAAGTGGACACGTGGTCTGTAAAGGTCACTATGTTACAGAAATACTACAAAAAAAAAAGTTCAAGGACAAATAATTATGATGTGAAATAACTAAATTCATTCCACACTGTTACTAAGAGCTTCTAGAAATGTTACTATTACAGATAATAATTTGAACTAACAATCTTTTTGATAGTAATTGAAAACAGACAATATTACATAAAAAGAACCTTAATGATTTATATATCTCTGGAAGACCAAGGAGAGAATATTAAAGTGTATCTTAGTAAAACTACCACTGAGATTGTGGACTGGATCCAACTGTTACAAATTCATGTGCTGCAGTGTTGAATTTTTGAACCCTATTACCACTCAGTTAATGGGTTAGTTTGTCCCTTGTTTGTTATAAATCTTAAAAAAGGCAGCTAAAAACAAAAAAGCATATAGATCCAATGATAAATGCAAGTGTTAATTAAATTCATGAAATGTTTTATAGCACATATTAAGTTCTGAGCCAATTATTCAGATCCATATCAGTATAAATGTCAATTTCAAAACTTACTTTCCAGCTTTGCGACCATATTTGACAGCTTCTGTAATAAGATGTTTATACTGTGGCATGTTGGCAGCAGACAACATAAGAGATGGGTTTGTGGTGGCATCAGTGGGTTTGTATTGCTTCATGGCTATGCAAATAAGAAATTACCATGAACACAATATTTATACTGCTCATAAATTATTAGCAAGCTTAAAAGTAGGTGAAGTTATGTAGAGAAGTTTGGTTAAAAATTATTCATACATACATATAAATACATCTTTATTATATTCCGTAAATTATGGATCCATGTCTTGCAAGATGGGGAGTGAGGCTTAAAGCTTCTACTGAAGTATGTCCCACAAAGTGTTCACTCTTTTACAATAAATTTTAGAGAATCCATTTCAGTGGTATTAACTCACACTACTTTAAAATGCATACACCAGATGTCTAAAATATGACAGTGCTGCTGTTTATCTCTTTCACAAAAATTACTGTCTTTTACAAAATATTACATTTTCTTTAAAGAAGATATCAATTTCTAATATGAAAAAATTACTGTCTTTTACAAAATATTATATTTTCTTTAAAGAAGTTATCAATTTCTAATATGGATCAGCCACTCAATACATGAATAGGATTTTTTTATTTAACCTCCTGAATTTCACTTCTTCTTTACAAGGGTGCATATGATGGTCTACAGGAAACTGTGAACTAAACGGCAGTATAAGCAAGCTTACAAAAAAATTACCATCTCCCAGACAAATTTTTGACAAGGCACAAACCACCATTATAAACAAACTTTATTCAATCCGTTACTAAACTTGAGTTTATAGATTTTTTTAGTGACTCAACACAGTGCTGAATGTCCCTGCTACAAGAAAATAACAATGATAAATGGCACAGAACATTCTGTGACAAGCTTATGACAATTTTTGGTCTGCAGTATACATTCTGTCAGCAAGTGAAAGCACAACAAAAGTAGAGTTTTTTCCCCTCCTCAGTCACCTACATTTTCTGTCAGAAATTAAAAAAATTAATAAAAAGTATGTAAAAGAATTCATGCGACAAACCTACATGTAACAGATGCAAAAACAGTATCAGATTATGTATTGTACTGATTTCATATGAAATAACCCAAAGAATACTTATCAAAACTCATGTCTATGTTGGATGTAAAAAATGTGTAAGCTATAATACTCCATGTTCTACAAAGTCTTTGTTCTTGTTATTAGCCCAATAACTAATCAATAAAATATGGACGTAAGCCCTGGGCAAGCATAAACATTTCATTCTGAAAGCTGCTGCTGCTGCTGCTGCTCCTCCTCCCCCCCCCTTAATGGAAAAATACTCATCAAACAATTTCTTTACCAGTTCCAACAAACGTAATTAATTTATACATGATGGTTTACAATGCTGTAATACGAACTTTATAATAAATCAATGCACATGTAAAGACAAAGTTAATATGATGAGTACATAACCCCCATCGTCCGGTATATTATATTTTATTCCGAAGTGTAATTTTTTTCAGAATTTTCAAACTCTGGTTATACATATCGTACTTTCTAATACAGTTTGAAAATCGTTGCCCGGGGACATCCTGATAGATTATGTAATTTTGCATTGCATGAATTGCATAACTAGGTTACACAACGGTGGCGACTCTTACCTTCGAAATCCCCCGTATCTGCCACAACAGTGGTAAACTTCTTAAGTTGTGCAAGAGAACTTGACATTTTCTTCTTTGCTTGAGGTTCACTGTCCGTCATCACCCTGCCTTCCTTTTACAATTACCGAGTAGAAACAATTGCCCTGTTTAAATAGCATTCGAGAAGACGCAGAAAACCTATGCCATAGATAACTACAGCCTGCCACAAGTATGACTCGACAGGGCAACCAAACTTACACTCCAACATTCCCTGTACTTTATGTTGTGTGAAAATGTTATAAGAAACTACGTTCCTAACATAAGGTAACAATATGAGGTCTATTATTTTTACATACGTTAAGTATTAAATCACAGCCGCTAAGCACATATTACAAACGATTTCATAAAATTACGAACCTCACGTACATCTTTCACTGTTTACAACATTGCTTACAACAGTCAGAACATAAGTGAATCGGGACAGAATGGCAAATAATACCAACTTACTTATACCAACATAGATACTGAATTTCCTCCAAATTTATATCTCCCTTAACGTCTGTTTTTTTATAATCCTATCTCCTTTTCCCCCTTCCCCAGTATTTCCCTCAGGAATTTTATTTCAGGTGCATGGAGTTTAGGTTTCTCTCTCTTAGGGCATGTCCATGTCCTCATAATTAAAATTCATGCATAAAAAATGAAGGAATTTGATATGCAAGTACTCCAATTTATGTGAGCTGTATTCCAAAGACACTCATACAGAGTTTATTTAAATCACATAAATGGAAAAAATAAAATCCCTTCTCCCCTCACATTCCTCTTCCACCAACCACCCCCAACTCTGTAGGATTTGAGGTTCTCACAGCAGTGTCTGAATATGGCCGTCTTCTGGGTTCTTACACCGTGCAGTACGGTAGAAGTTCTACCAGACTCAACTCCCCCTCCTCATTCAATTGACCAACAATATGTATAAATGTTATTGCTATAAATTGAAATTGGTCTAAATTATAGTTGACTGCATTAAAATTAAATCACACTTTTTTAGCCCGCACATAACGAAGCATACCCATATGTCTTCCAAAGATCTGATGTCTGTATCAAATCTTCATCTCTACAATTTTGAGTAATGCATTGACCAACCACTGCTAGTAGCCTCTCAGTAGAGTATATGCTATAACTCTCTGAAACTAAATTCCAGACCATATTAAAATAATGCTGTGATGTGGACTATCTGCAAGTAATTAATTTACAGTACAATAATTTGTTGAATGACAGTCTCAAAATTAGGACAAGAGGGAAAATGTAATGTTCATATGACGATTTTTTTTCAAATTTCTTCTTACTTTCATCCATTTGAAAGGCACAGAACCATGTCTACCTTAACATGTAAAACCTGTACTGTTCTAAACATTTTAGGATCTACCTGTAATGAATTAGGATCACAAATAAATGACAGATTTATATATTATTTTCAACAAATAAACATGCTACACTCCTTTACAGTGTTCTGATTCCAATGTACATAACAATGCTACTCACATACAGTATTCTTGCTTTAAACCAAAAAAAAATATATAAATCTATATGTTACAGGTATTATAAAATAATCTCAACTCCAAAATCACAACTGCTTGAATTCAACTGTTGCAGTGGAATAGAACACACATACACAACCTGATTCCCATTTGAATATGACAATGGAATAACTAAGTATGCTTTGACTTCCAGCATGGCTACTATTCTGAAGTGCAACTCCTTATTATGCAACTGTTTACTTATTTCTAGTTTCAGTCCCACAATTGGATTGACTTTTGATTTGCCATATTATTACTATGGACGCTTTCATAAGAAATACAATGTTCATTTTTATTCTTCTCTGCACTAATGCTCACTGAACGGAAATATGTGAATTCCATATAGTGACAGAATCTGTAAGCATTTTACCTTTGTTTTTCTTATGTTACTAGCAAAAATTTCAGAAAATGCAAAAAATCTACCATAACTATTATAATGGAAGTCTGTCACTATTTGCTAATCACAGACTTAAATGTTTAATTACATTACAAATCACATTTCCTTTCTTATTCATATTTCTTGGCCACATTATTTTCCTTTTGAGTTTTGTATTATCAATTATCTTTGCAATCCATGTACTTGTATTAAATCTACTTGTAATGGAGAATTAATAATAATAAAGTGAATCCCAACACAGTGCTCCTTCACAAAACTGCAAAACTTATATTCCACAATAAAATCAAAAGAATTAATTCTGTTCATAAATAGATATGCAGCTTTTAACAGAGGTGATGATGATTAGTTATCTGGATCAACAACTGACTAGAACCAGATGAGGCACATATTCAAAACACCTACACATTGTATTTGTTCACATAATATGTTCCCCATATTTAAAAGCCACTATGTACATACATATTAAATTCCAAAAGACAAAATGCATTTACATCATAACTGTAACAAATCTGTACCATGTCTTTATAGTACTGCGTATTTTCCATAAATGAAACAACCTTCTATTGCATTTGTAGTAACAACCACAGTAATGACTGGTATTTAGTAACATAAAATATAATCCAATATAGATAGCATTTTTAAATCATTTAAATGTTAATAAAGATTGTTAAAATCAACCTACAATACAGTTTTGTCATTTAAGCAAGATTATTAGATAAAACATAATGTTCCCTTAAATATGTAAGTCATTTTCACAAGTGTGAAACTTTGAAAAAACCAATAAGCCTGTTTGAACTGGTTATTACACGTGTTGCTCAAAATATGAAGAATGTGTTAACCTTATCTTAGGCACATTCCAAGAGCTTAAAGAATTGTTCAGAAATAAGACCCACATGTATACATCAAATTATCTTGGAATACTGCATTCCTATAGCAGTTTGCCACAAGATACATCCAACATTTTCAAAGAAATGATACATGACACACATTCAAATTTCAACACAAGGAAGCATATAAAGATTGTTATTTTTTATCATAAACAATATCTGACCTTCATTAAATATGGCATGAAATGCTTAGTTAGAGACAAAATGCCACTACAAGTTTCTATTCACACAGTAAAAAGTTACCTGCCCTTTTAAGTTTTTTTTAAACTCACAGGTTGGTTATTTTTAAATATCAATATGTAGTACAAGGTAACCATTAAACATCTAGTTTTAAGACTTAATAATACCTTCTATAGAAGATGAGAAATTTCTTGACAGTACTATCAGCTTCCCAAGAGGGACTCTGCTCCATGAAGTTAGTTAGACATATGTCATTACCAGTCATAATGTTACTATATTAATTTAATTCATGTTAGACATCCACCTTTTATGTTATGAATAAACAAGATCCCTCTTTCTTTCAGACTCTAAATGCATAAAATTCACATTCTCTGTTTCTTATCAAGATGTGTCTTCCTTGCTCAGAAATGTTGAATATTGTATCAAGTTTCTACATATTGCAACTGTGTGTATGTTTTTTCAACCTTACATCATAAATCAATTCTAAGGCAATATTAAGATGTTGATTATAGCCTTCTAGGATGTGATACCATGCAGTCTTGTAGGTAGTTTTGAATAACAAATTCTGTCTTCAGGTCATATGTGCTGAAGACTGACCACAATCAACAATTTCACCGCAGTGAGAACCTTAAACCTTACACAACAATATCACATTCACAGTACACGTACAGTTACTAATTCACTAAGCTCAGACTGAAATGAAATTTCTACTTTTGAGTATAACAGACCGTAATAAAATAAAACTTTAGTACTTATCAGTCTGTCTGTACAGGGAGAAGGATAATTAAAAATATCCTTCTTATAGGTACACCTACTCTAACCACACAAGACTTCCAACATAAAGGCTGAAGGTTATGTTTCAAATCATACTGGTTCTTGATCAAATGCAACAAACATTTGGTTTATATATAACAACAGTAAAGCATTAAGAATTATCATTGAGCTCTCCCTGTCTCTTGAAATTAACACCTTTTTATATATGAAAATTCATGCTTTCAAGCTTTGCTATTTAAGTATGGAAAGGACGATTTCTTTACGTAGGTTAAGCAAGTATCAACATTTGTTACAATATGTATTGACAGGTATAATTGGCAAATACAATCCAAAACACAATTTATGGAAACTCAGTAAACAGAAGGTGGTATGTATGAATTACAGTATTTTTCAAGTAATGATACTTGCTTTGAGCAAATAAACTATATGAACACAAACTTTCTTCGATTTTTCATTTAACTAAAATGCCTTAAGCATGTAAGATATGTTCAGATATAAAAAAAAGATAAAATGATTTTAATGTTTTAGTTATAAATTACCTGCCCTTAATATTCTCAACACATCTGCATGGCTGAAAATACATACACATATCTACAATAACACCAAACAGCTATATTACATGAGACACCACTGAAGTAAAGTGTTGTACTGACACCTTGATTAACCAAATATGACAGACATGAACAAGTTGTATCACACAACAGTTAATTCTTCCACACATTACCTATCCATTGCTACCAAAGAACAGTGATCATGAAGGCATTATTTATGAGGAATTTCATTTACAAGGAATGACATGAAACACCTCCATAACCTGTTATGCATCTGTCAGATAAAACTGCTTGTCCCCAAGATGACATCGCAACCGAATGAGATAAACATGAAAATTACGCAATTAGAAGTGCTTAGGTCTGAAAATAAATGGACCTCTTCAGTCTTATTTATTAAATTGGAAATTGTATTATACCGTATGGGCTGTTAAACACAAGTTGGAAAAGATGAAACAAGCGGTAAGAAATGGAACTGACTTGCATCCACATTAAATGAGAAATACAAAGTAAAAAATAAGACACTGAAAAATATGTGTTCTGAATTCTGGAATGCACCCTTCCACACTTATTTCACAGTTCACGAAGGACTGCAGTCATCTTGGAATCCAGTAAACCATTAGCACAATTCTCTTCTGCCTACAACTTCAAAACACCACAACAAAACAAGCAACAAATATCAACAAACAGCTTCTACAAATCCCATAATTTTGACTCTGCAAAGATGCATATTTTTTATGTAAATTTCAACAGCAATGGCTGCATTCAATTATAATTCCATTAAATTTTATGTATGGAAGTATATTAGTAAATACTAGCTAGTTAATTCATATAAATTTGTGTACAGTTTACGATGGCATCTCAGTGTCTGATTTCATTTTAGAATTATATAAAAGCTGACCACAGAAGATATATGTGGGGAACATCTCATTCCAACCAGTAATAGTAAGTAAATAAACAAAAACTGGTGAGCAAAGAACACATCATAACTTGCACCCACATTCAGTACTCTCTCCTTACATGCAGAGTACCCATATGGTGGTACCAACTTCTGCTACATAATCTACTGCTTATTTCCACCACGCGAGATATGAATACATCATTCATACACAAAGGTAGTAATTAGCTTGTATTACTAGATGACACTAAATGCTGATCAGGATTAAATTGGTAACTATCCTCAAAGCTGTACATATCAATATTTACATAGTCCAAACTAGTCCATATTCATAAATTATTAGGGGGAATATAATTTTTGAAGATACGAGATATTTTATAGCACAAAAATCTCGTCATATTTCAGTATACATCATATATTATATGCGCCTTTCTCTCACCAGTTCATAATGTGCATTCCCCAAAAAAAATATAAAATCCAATATTATTTCCATGGTGCAGTTTAATAAATCAAAAAAAAAGTGCAGTAAATCTTAATTAATTGTGGCAAGAAATTAACTCCTTTCTTCTTAATGAGTAGCAGTGAACGCATATGATTCACTAAACATTTCTGAATGTCATACTGGAAGGCCAACAAAGAGTACTTTTAAATCTGATGTGACTAAACATCAAGTCATTTTGACAATCATAACTTTAACTTCTGTAGACTAATTATCAATGGCAAACTAAAAAGCAACAGAAAATACATAACTACAGCGATGCTATGTTTAAGTAACACGAAAAAAGAGAAGAAACAGAAACAGTATTCAAGAACATTACAATAGATAAAATATATATATCACATTATACCTGAGGAAAAAATAAGTTTTTTTAGAGTAAATTTCTGTATATGTACACTTTCATATGCATTAAAAAAGTGTAAATGTTCACAGTGTCTTTACTGTTTTCATAACCTATACCAGCAAGTCATTACAGTTATGATTAAATAATTAGTACTGTTCAGGTAAAACTTCAGTCAGTGGGAATTTAAATACATCAAAGGTTCAACAGAAACATTCATTCACCTACTCATTTAAAAGATTCCCACTTTCAGAAAAGCTTATCTATGAGAAAACAGCAAAGACACAGACACTGAGTTCTGCCAAATTTATGTATTTGCTTGCCTAGATGACAGCTGCTAAAAATACATACTAAATAAAACAAGTTACGACAAGGGGCAAATAGCAATATAGCCTGATCCCCAAATGAAATCGGAATAGCCACAGCTTTATAAGATATTGTAGATGCGCCACAGCTTTATTTCTTTCCCAGTAATTCATTAAAGACTGACTGTTCTGTTAATGCGAAAATAACTTAATGGGAAACGTAACACACATATTTTATAAGTTGAAACACTGGGACTGTTATGAATGTCCAACATCCATAGCATTTTCATTAGAATGCTAAAAGTTTTGGATAGACAGATACAAGTTTTATATTTCTGCTTTCCCTTTTCTATTTCAGTTAACAGGATTTTATTTATTTTTAAGGGTTTTAGGGTTTAAGGGTTGATTTTAGCACCATGGTTCCTCTGTAATTTAATATCAAATTATCCAAATCCTTCTAATACAAATTACAAAAATATACACTAGATATTTTGGGTGAAAACTCTTAAACTTTAATAACCCTGCTAGAAAAGTATATCTTAATAGAAACCTAAGAAGAAGGAAAAAAAGATATAGGTACTGCAATAAATCTAGCAATCACATTTTACCAAAGAACACTTGAAAGAAAACCATGGAAAATTATCTATAATATTATTATTAACTTTAACACTTCATTTACTAAACCTAGCAACTCCAAAACAGACCAAAATCTATTTCAGTAATTTAACGACATAAGTTGCTCAGAGTATTGAATGATAGGATAGTTAATGAATAATATATTAGAAAGCTTATAGAAAGAAGTTGTCATGGCCTAATTTAAAGGACTATCCTGGAATTTGCCTGGTGGGATTGAGGAAAACCACAAAATACGTTAGTCAGGATAACTAGTCTCCAGACAAAGATCCGAAACTTGGACCTCCCACATAGGAAGTAGATGTGTCAGACAATACCATAAATATCTTACAATAAACTGTTTGCAAGAAACATGAAAAATACTGTCACATAAGATCCAAATGGACAAGTAGAATTCTAGCAAACATGCATACAACATGGCAAAATGAAACAGTTTTTGACAAAAAATTAAGTACTTTTGATACTGTAACAGAAGTAAAGTAGCAGCAGCAACTTATTCTTTTTCACAGATCTTTCTTTGTCTATTACTTCACACTATGTGAATATCACCAGGCAAAGTTCAAAAAGAAATCATAGATCACATAAAATATTTCCAGTAACATATTGTGACTGAACATATCCTAGTTACTTTATTGCGATTATGCAAAGAAAATGCAGATTATATATCATGCATTCAAAACAAAAATATAAATTTACATCACAATAATCAAATGTTTAAAAACTAATTGATTATTTAAGTACTTTTACTTTATCTGAAATCACTGCATGAAAATGGAGTTGATAGGTTTTTAGAAATGAAGTATTATTACTATTTTCCACGGTTTGTATAGAACATAAACAGAAATAAACCTTCTTCCAAACAAACAACCATTTCACAGAACAAATGGCTGGTATTACTGCCACTACTATGATGCTCTCTTGGCACTACAGCATTTGAAACACTTCTGCTATCTCTTGCTGCGTTGCGATTGGTCCACTTGATCCTGCAGGTGTCGCATACGGTCTAGTAGTGACCGCTTCTCTTCCAACAGAGAAGCAACATCATCTTGAGCAGTCGCTAGACAAGATCGTAAAATCTGAAAAGACGTAATAGTGCAGTATTTAGTGACACTTAAAATCAGGTACTGCAAATACTTCACTACCTTACTGCTCAGATCTAGTTTACACAGTTAAGGGGTCAGCTAACCTGGCTCTCCTCCGTTGACTGACGCAGGGTGTGGTTCTCCTTTGATACTCTCTCTAAAGCAGTCAATCTCCGTTTCAGTTCTGCATTCTCTGCTTGCAGCTGTCTGTTGGAATGTTCCAGAGCTGCTAGGTGTCTAACAGTATCTTCACTTAGAATCCCACCACAACTAGATACATCTCCAGTTCGCTGAACTGCTTCCACTAGGTGGACATAAAAACACCAACAAAAACCGACGTTCTTCACGGTTGGAACGCCACATAGATACCAATGTTTCAGAGAAACATACTGTCTCTATCTTCATGGCTGTACACTACCACTTCTACCCTGAAGATGGAAGCCAATACCATTCTCTGAAATGTTGGTATCTACTTATGAGTCTACATGGTGTCATAACCCAGATCATCATCATCCTCACTGCCAGGAAAGCCTCAAATCTCACATAGTTAAAAGTTTATATATAAATGTATATATACACATCCAAGTGAAGTAAAATATAAAATAAACCCTACTTTAAATAGACCAAGAGACCATCTCTTCATCTCTTCTTAGACATTTGTTATTCCATATGTTGTCACCTACAGCACCCGATATCCTCATATCTTTCATTGTCTGTTCTTTAATTTCATTATTCAAATCTCCATCGGAAGTTGTTTTTACACCTAGGTAATTAAATGAACTAACCAGCTGTATGATTTTTCTATAGTTAAATTACCTGGTGGTTCTATGTGGAATACGCCATCTGATCCTCTGTTCACAATCAACTCTGATACCTCTAAATTTATAGGGACTGGACCCGGTGAAGTTATGTTGGTGGAAGGACGATCTTCATTTAAACAAAGTTTGATATTATCAAGCACCATCTGAAATAAAACAGAAACCTACGATAGAGGAAGTACTGAAAGCGCCGTGAAAATTAAAGTGAAATAAACAAACACCTTTAATAACTAAATTACATTTCACACTCATAACAGCTTAGTCTGGATTCATCAGAATACCTGGACCCAATAAAAATTCTAAGTTTCTTGATGTAGCATTTATAAAAAATCTACCATGCATACAATTATGAACCAAAACATTTGCTGTGATTATGTTCAATCTCATACAACATTTTAATTTCGTTGCTGTAAAATATATAAACACCAACCATTACGAGCAAAGAAACAAATTTGATTCAAAGTTTACTGATGGTATGCCAAAAAACAGAACCCTAGGGTTAAAAAATAACCTATTCCTATGTAAAACTTCATTACATTAATTATCCAGAAATGCCTTTAAGGTACATGCACCATTACTACATAAAGAGGACACTCTAGATAACAGCTTGCATACAATCATCGGTTAAGTACAATGAATTCAGAAAGTCATTATTTGCTAAATTTGACTTTCCAGTCTCATGAAAAGGAAATAAAATAATTCTGAGGTGTAACAACTAACATATACTTTCCAAACATCAAGAGAAACACAATTCACCTTGGATTTACTTAATTTAACGTAAAAGTAAATTTTGTACTAGCTCAGTAGCTAAAGGGAAAAATCACGTAATTTCATTTAATTTCTCACGCTCCATTCTGTTCATGTTCCTTCATAGAAACATTTTTGGTGAGGGGTTCTACTAGCATTTAAGTGTAAGGGCCTCAGGACAAAATGCTGTTAATAAATATCAGAAACTCACTTGCATAGGTAGCGGGTGAGGAATCACTTCATCCTCAACCAGATCAGCCAGACCTGCCACAGTGCTCATATTGAGATCCAAACTCAAGTCGCTGATCTTAATTTGCATGTGATCTTTACACCACTCCTTGAAGCTTGTCCTGTCAGGGATCACACCTGGATTCACCGTATGGTCCAGTCGTATCCGAGCACAGGGACGGCCGGCAGCATCCAACGGAACTTCCATCCAAGCACGGGAACGACAACTAAATTTGCTCTGCAAAGGAAAATTGAAGAAAAAAGAAATCAAATTCTAGTTCTCACCAGAACATAAATCCTAGCATGCAAATTCCCCACAAAGCTAATTCCATCAGCCACAACACACTGGGTGCAGTGATGTGCTTGGCTATGACAAACTAAGTGGGAATATCATTTATGCCAAAACAGTGTGCTATTTGCTATCTACAATATGCATTAAAAATTACAATATTACTTACACCAGAATCATGTAATGAATTTTCTTGTATTTTCTGCCACAAAAATAATTGTCTTTAATAACATTTGAAATGCCAAAAAAAGAAAGTCACAAAACTGCATTCTAAGTACAAAGGGTTCAACCAATATCCTTCAAGCAAACTGGAACAGGACTCCTCTGCTGGAATGTACAGTATATGTGAGGCTAATTATATTAAGCGAATTTATGTCTGTAACAATAAAAGAGGTTCACTGTATATGCAACAGCAACAGTAAGTGTAAATCTAGTATCACATCAGTCATCTGACAGATTTGCTGCCTGTTCATTTTACTCACAAACTATGCAAAGGAAAGGGCATAGATGGCAAATCACATCTTAATCCTGAAGTAATGATTCTGTATTCAGAATTAATATTCTGACACCAAGTATGACCTCTTAACAATTTTCTGTCAGCTCATTTTGTTTTTTGTTTTTTTCAAAATTAAACAATGAACATTTAATATAGAAACACATAAAAATATTTCTGAAATTATTGCACAATATCATATTTGAGTCTTGAGTCACCAAGTGAAGAGTGTGGGACCTATTGCATGCATTCATGCATTTTTAATTTTATTGTTCACAGCTACAACTCATCTGATCACACAAATCTAACCTTAAAGCTCTACTCTAAGAAGCCATGCAAAATTCAAGCTATTTACAATTTGCTGCCCAAATACTCCCTTGTTTCAATAGATGAAAAAAGCAGCTTGAATATGATCTTTCTGCATCATTACAGTTACTACAAAGCTAGTGAACATGGTGATTTAACGACTGCAAAAACCAGTTACTCTCTAGATTAATAATAAAAAACAACTATCCAGTTATGATATAGGCAGAATAAAAACAACAGAAATCGTAGATCAGAATCAAGAGTAGAAAAGGAATCGTAAACAGGCAAATATTAATTTTGGTCTTCTGGATTGTGATGCTATGTAGTTATGTAGCAACATTTTTGGAGGAACACATCACCTTCACTTTCAAGGTTGAAGACGGAGGAAATACATTCCTCTGATAAGCTGGTAACCACCAATAGCACTACATGGCATCACAACCCACAACACCACAATCAACATGTTCATTGTTGTGATAACTTCAAATTTCAAATCATTATCAAAAGCATAAATATTTTACACAAAAATGTAATTCTTAATATAACATTATCTATACCACTTAGTAGCAAATTCCAAAAAAATCATGCAGCCTTCAGGGTCCTGAGATGATTCCAACAACAAAACAAGTAAAAAACACAAGTTACCTGCAAGGAGACCATTACGAAGAGGGGACAAAATAAAAATTATTGATCAACACACAAAAGTTCAAAACATTTGATACAACAAAAGACTTAATATTCATACCTATGAAGATTAAAATGATTATAATGTCAGTGATAACAGGAAATGTTATGGTAGCTTACTAAGATAACTTCAGAGTAAAAGATCTTACCTTCAAAGAAGTGTTTTAAAACAAGGTGCTCAGGAAGATATTGGGACCTAGGAATGATGGAATAAGAGGGTAATTTAGAATATTACATAAGTAGGAGCTGCACGAATTGTACAAGTCACCTAGCACAATAAAGATAGTGAAATCTAGGATGCTCCGATAAGCCGGACACATGGCAGGCATGGGGGGATACAAGGCGTGCACACAGAATTTTGGTGGGAAATGACTGCTGGGCAGACAAAGAAGGAGATGGTAGAATAATATCAAGGTGGATGTTTGGGAGGTAGGCTGTGGGGATGGAAAATGGATGGAGTTGGCTCAGGATTGTACCCAGTGTCAGGCTTTGGTGTTGGACCTGCGGGTTCTGCCAGGAGTTATTTAGGTAGGTAGTTAGTAAAAGATAAGGGTTTAAAACCTGAATGTGAAAGAATTTCTGTTTCCACACTCAGAATGGCTCTGGGAATCAATCCACTAAGCTGATTGCTAAATATACAGAAAATTCCAGCACTACCTTCTTTCTATTACTGCAGTCTGAGAATGTACTTACATACCTCAGGAAAAATTCATGGAAGAATGCTTAAGCTCAGGAGAAGATCTGTACTCTTCACGAGTTAAATTAAGACAGTACTTTCATCAGTCACGATTTCCATGGCAAATTCAGTGACTTTCATGTATTAAAATCACCTCGATTATGTAATATTATGAAACAGTCTACATACAGAATTTCTTTAAGTTCACTACTTTCATAAATCTTGGACACAGTACACCAACAGTCAACTCTAAAAGTGTGCTTCGGGAGCTAGGTGGTACATGTAACACATGGATGTCTACTTCATAAACGAACATCTGACAAGCAATTAATGAGAACACAGAACTGACAGGCTGATTCTGTTGTTTTATTTACAACATTTTGTGTACAGAATTTCATAGAAGTAGCCAGTGTAACAAGCATTCATATTCCTGTCAAGTGTGGCAAAACAAACGCAACTTGAAAGTAGCCAGTGTAACAAGCATTCATATGCCTGTCAAGTGTGGCGAAACAAACGCAACTTGGCACACACATACATCAATAGACACACATGCAAACTCACATACTCCAATCCCAGTTGTTTTATCATGCAGATCGATAAGAGAAACTGCCAATACCTTGACCTTGGCCTGCCAATGTGCCACACACAACATTCACAAGAGACCGAAGGCAGGAAGAGGGCATGCAAAAAATGTACAGAGAAAAATTTGTAGTATATAACTTGACGTACAAAATATACCAAAAAAAAGTTTTTAATAGCAGCACTTACTTTCATTATGTCATGTCAGTAGGTATTATATACAGTCTATCATATAATGAAAACAGTTAACATTAACAAAAATTTAACTTGAAAAAATTTTAGATGTCCTTCCTCATCAGGAGATCATAAAGGGCTTTGTAATAGTAATGTACATATTGTGATATGCTTTAACAGTTACATTTAAAACATATTTTAATTTATATAACTAAAACTGAACATTTTATCAAACTGTTAGTCACAGTGAAATCAGAAAAGTGTATCTTATAATATGCTTAAAAGATCACTGAGTCAATGCTGCAACTTAATTCTGGTATACCTTGTATAAGGACTAGAGCAACACACAGGTGTGTTTGCTAATGTAAATTAAGGGAGGGAGAAAGGGAAACCTAACATTTTCAGAATTTAATTCTGTCAATCTTGCAGAATATAATAAACTTTAATTGTTTAGAAGTAACAACCTAACATTTTCAGAATTTAATTCTGCCAATCTTGCAGAATATCATAAACTTTAATTGTTTAGAAGTAATTGCAAATAGTCAAAGCATAAAGAAGATCACAGCTCAATTTATGTTCGTAATGTTATAAGAAAGGTAAGTTAACATTATTAAAAAATGCTGTTACCTATTTTGTGTGGTGTGCAGCTTCACATACAGAAATTTAACCAAATCCTGTGTCATCCACAGATAAATATTTCTATTACATGAAGTTAATTAAAACCATTTAAAAGGTATTTATACTAATAATTACTGAGAACAGTGATACTGATATTTAGGTCATTAATATCATTATTTATGATTTCAAAACCAACAATACTAACACAAAATTCTGCAATCCTTCAAGAAGACCTCGGTAAGTGTGAAAGTTATTTATAAATTAAGTAATTTTGAATTTAGTATAATTTCGGAATTATGTTTTCATGTAATACATATTATAAAAAGTTTTTTAACATGACATCCCTGACTAAGAAACACTGTTAAATCCCCATTAATACTACGAAATAACCAATGCCACAAAGTAGTATTAACATATAAATCACAAAGAGACTGAAAAGCAGCAAACTGCCTAGATGCGAGGCACACAACAAACAGATCAAATGTTAGGTAATGTTGTAGGTGTTGTTTCAAGAGAAATATAATAACAAGCTGTCACTAACTTCTACCTAATGACCACAGCATGTGGCTGGTATGAATGCCAGTATATATGACACAGTCCTCAATATCAAAGACGTGTCTTGATATACTGTAATGGTTGCCATCTGTGGATACTTTCTCTGAATTCTGTGACAGCCCTCCTTGGTATGACAAAGTTATACAGTGCAATTAATTGCCATCATCTGAGAGCAGAATTATTGCTCAAGTGTATTAAGAGAATTATATACCTTCCTCTGTCTCTGGACAGTAAATGTGTCGGATGAAATGGCTCTACTAATTACAAGGTAATGCATTAAGATAAAATAGGAAGATTGATAATCCTGGAGAAATTCTGTAGTTGTCAGCTGGGGAATTTATGAGTAGAGGAAAATGTACAATGTGTCCAAGCGAAGAATATATTAGCATCTATTAACAACTGTGTCATTTTTGCAAATACAGGAAATCAAATGTTTTGCAAACTGTAAGTTGTAATCTGTACACACACCCTTACATATATTCAGGGTTTCTATAATATTAACGATGGAAATAATAATTATACAATTTTTTATATATGTCATCTTCCCCGGCCTGCAAGTAAAATTTCCTTAGTTTACAGCTCTGTAAGCAAGCAAATTATGGATGCCTAATGAGGTTATAAAAATCATAACTGGTTTTAAACATAAATTTTAATAAATATTCTAAATATTTCAAGATAAGAATGAAGAATCATCAGCCATGGCACAGCATACCAAAACTCCATATTCAACAAATCGAGGCCAAATGCCAACCTACAAACATAATTCACATCTTACTTAAATCAAATGCCTCTGCATGAAATGCATATTATGCAACAAACAAGAATATTAATAAATCAAAATTTTATTTTGAAATGGCGACTACCGAAAAGTAACAACAGCATTAAAACAGTTTCCTAGCAGTGTTCTTAATTACAATGGGAAAGCATTGCTACAGGCGTTCACTGCTTACTGTAGCTATGATTTCCGGCAAACAAGAAAAAGCATTTTATTTTTATAACACCTATTAACATCTGTAATTTCATTATGAGGATGCATAAAGCCAACAATCATAAACACATCTGCTGGCATGTTTTCGTCATTTAGGGCAGATTACGTGTATCTATGTGAGAAAGTCATACATTCTTGGACACACTGTATAAACAAGCAGATTACAAACATAGATATTAACCACAATCATGCTTGTAAAACCATAATAATTTAAGAAGAGTATAATTTGCGTAGCAGGACTTTTTCTGTAGTGGTTAATTGAGATATCTTTTTGTTCTCCATCTGCTTGTCAGTACCTCTACTCAACTTGACTAGCTACTTTTTGACATATGCATATATATTAATTAGTAAATATGGGAGGCAAAGATGATGCAAAACAGTAACTATAACTGTTCACTACAGGTTTGAAAGAAGTATTGTAAAGAGTAATTATACTTTAATAATGTAACTTACATCTAATGTCAAAAAAGGAAAACACATGGAAGAAAATGTAACACAATAAAATGTGATAAATATTAAAATGACAAAGCAGCAAGATGGACTGGAACGAAGTTGATATGAGGGATGGAAACATACACAAACTAAGACAGCACCTGCCTCCTTATCCACACGCTCCCAGCTTTTAACTCTGTCCTATTAATATTAATACAGACCAAGGAACAAACAGCCAGCGACAGATGAATTTCATAGCTGCAGCGATAATTTTCTTTTCTTTTGTACCTTCATCTCCTTCAGAGATACTTGCTATTTGAAGATGGCTAAGGGTCTGCAATTCACACAAAGTAAATTCCTACAGAACTGCCACCCAAATCCACACCATCCAATCCATCACTATCAACCTAGTTCCAATCTTTTCACACAAAAAGCATCACACCCTCTCAAAGAAAACTGTGCATTTTGTATGGGAAAGAGCTTCCTCAGAGCACCAAATTAAAATACCTGAAACTCATCCCAAGGGATTGCTCCACAATCATCAGAGGTGAGACTTGACACCTGCACCTTTATAGCAGACGAAAACCCCTGGGACTGCTGTACAAATTCAACCTTTCCCAGCTTGAAAGTGGACATGGATACCTGTAGTCAGAAATACCAATAACATTAATAAAATCTTCCTCTGTAACTAAGATTTAAGCATTATACTTTCACACTCACAAAATCAGAATTTTCTGCAAAATAATACATATTCTTATTACGAGGCGCGTCCTCAAAGTAAGTTTCCCACTCGTCCCACAGCTAGCAAACCTTATATTGCGCGAAGCGACTGTGCGTACGTGATAGAGCAATGACATAGCATGGCGCATGCACTAACGGCACCACCCACGTTCTCACAGTAGCATCGTTGCAGCTGTTGAAGATGGAGGTTCTTATTCCAGCTCCCGCCGACTGTGAAGTGCGGTCAGTGATAACGCTAGGCCGCACACGGCTCGACGGACAGCAAGTCTCCTGCAGGAGTTCAGCTGGGAGGTGTTTAATCATTCACCCTACAGCCCGGACCTCGCTCCCAGTGATTTCCATCTTTTCCTACACCTCAAGAAATTCCTGTCCGGTCAGCGTCAGCGTCAGCGTTTTGAGAATGAAAGAGAGGCGGAGATGGTTGTCACACAGTGGTTCCAATCCCAGGCGGCAGACTTCTACGACACAGGTATTCAAAAGTTGGTCCCACGGTATGACAAATGTCTCAAATCCGGTGGCGAATATGTTGAAAAATAGCTAGACACTTGCTGTATCTGTTGCAATAAATATTTCCATGAAATTGTGTTTTGTTTCTGTAAACGGCCCCAGGGAAACTTACTTTAAGGACGAGCCTCGTACATAGGAAATATATTATAAACGGAACAGCCACATTAGTTTACAGATGTGTTAAGATCAATAAAATCTTTTCGGACAATCAGCCTCGTCAACAGATTACCGTAGTAAGCCGACGTTTCGGGAACCAGTTGACGCGGCTGTTTGCCCGAGAAGATTTTATTGATTGTACTCGCCGCGAAAGTCTCAAATCCTATATGTGTTAAGGTGTATGTATTCTAGGTTCTTAAAACTTGTGAGATTTCAGATTTTCAGAGCGGCGGTAAGAAGATGGTTTCTGGTTTGTTACCCTTGTAGACTTGTAGAATTTTATCGTCGTTTTAGGACGCTTTAATGATGAAGCCAACAAGCATATCTGAAACGTCGGCAAACTTGACCACAATATATGGTGCAGAAACCTAGAAGACAGCCATCTACGAATGCAATTTGTATTTCACACAAGTCACATGTTGTTTATAACATTTACGACTGTTTCTACACAGTCATTTTTAATACGGGGTTAAATGTCGCATTTTGCTGCCCCTTTTGTACAAAACTTCATCCTGTAGGTAGAACACTGCTACTCTGTTTTTCTAAATTTTGGCCATCAAATCTTGTTTAAGCACGAAGCCAGGACTGCGGATGTCATAGAAGAACATTATTTGAATGATGAATGCTGGCTTGACACATCAACATGTTTTTTCAGTTTAGTTTATGGACTATCAGGATTGCCGAGTATGTCAGTTTTAGAAATGTAAAATGGGCTTTGTCAAATTTGAATACTCCATTTGCGGCCTCTCACCTCGCTTGAAATATCGTCACACGAGCATTTTCAGACTCCGTCAAGTATTTTGCACATTATTTAATAAATTCTCGGGGCTCACGGGCGATTAATCATAACGTGATTTATGACTTCCATAAATTACAACGAATAATGTTGCTGTGGTAGAGGGGTATGCTATATCAATCCCAGGCGGCAGACTTCTACGACACAGGTATTCAAAAGTTGGTCCCACGGTATGACAAATGTCTCAATTCCGGTGGCGAATATGTTGAAAAATAGCTGGACACTTGCTGTATCTGTTGCAATAAATATTCCCATGAAATTGTGTTTTGTTTCTGTAAACGGCCCCAGGGAAACTTACTTTGAGGACGCGCCTCGTACATGCTCTTTGCACGAAGTACATAGTGAGAATGAATTATGGGCTGGTCATGAATGCCCATCCGTCTGTCTGTCTTCCCAGTTGATTCAAATCATGAACTGGACAGATTCAGATAAAATTTGATGTAGACGTTGTGTGTGCTATTCTGCACAACCTCGAAATTATACTTCTGAATATGCTACAAGCAGCAATAACAAAATGATAGCTGAGGAAATTAGTGAGGTATATGTTGAGGAACTGCAATTTCGTGGCCAAAGTGGCAACTACAAAAATTTTCTGTCATTAACAAAATGGTTTACCAGGAATCCAGAGCACAGATTTAATAAGATTTATTGCAGCACAGTGTTCAAAATGATTTAATATACAAACAAGAATTTGATTAAAATGGGCATCTGCGATGTTATCAGTAATTGATGTTTCTTCTGTTAACAATGAACTTTGAACCCACAACTTCACTGCCATTACTACAAATTCTATTTTAAGCAAATCCATATCTTCGCACAAGTTTTTCCATTTCAGTATTTCTCTTCAGCAATAATAATTCCTTTCACCAAAGAGAAACAAATAAATCTAAGAGTCAACTTACCAAATCCCTCCTCTTATAAGAACTGTCAACCGAACGTTCACTGGGTGTAGTGGTGGTAGCTGTTGCATCTTCTTCCTCAGGTACTGCCTCACTTGCAACCTCTAATTGCTGAGGCAGTGGTGTCTCTCCACGACTAGTATTTGGATCAATTCGGAACATGGCATCCACACATTCCAACACACTCCTTTCTGCTGCACCTGAGTCTCCAGCTGACATGTTCACAACAACATAATTCTCACTGTCTGATGACGCGTCACTCCTCAAAGAAACCGTGTCACTAGCATCATCTGGACTCGGTTTTAGTGCCGAGTCTATCGACGTCATGAGACTACTGAATCCCTTTTTAACAGAGCTTATCCCTGCATTTAGGTTATCAGGAATATTAATGTTGGGAAAGGCAGTGGCAGGGTTAGGCCCATTTGCAGCTGGTTTTGTGCAGCTGACACCGGGTGTGGTTGAGGCAGTGACGATGGAAGATATAACTTCATGGGGCGGGAAATCCATTGACAATGATGAAAGTTCACTCACTGGTGTATTCACCCCTCCCATAACCACTCTTTTGCCACCAACACCACCTACGCTCTGTGTAACATTACTATTACTAGCAGCCAAGTTGTTGCTGATACCCATTAGTTCCTCTGGAATGCTCGCGGAATCCGGCAGGACAGACTCCAGGTCCCCACCCGAACACTCCTTACCAGGAGACTGAGATGGCATTACAAACGTCACTTCTAACTGGAACACACAGCACAGTTATATAATACTAGATAATAGAAATAAAACATATTCATAGAACATCCACAAGAGGGTGCTGAAGTGAAACATTCCACAGAGTCAGAAATAATATGAGAATTTTATACTATGCTACACATTAAGAAAATATCAAATTTGAAAGTAAATTTTAGTAGATGGACAAAATTTAAGTTTGAAACCTTGAATGCTTGCATATTCCTATTTGCACGTGCAGTCTCACCTGTGGTATTAACGCACCCATGACTAGTGAACCACCCAGCTCTTGCTTGAAGATGCGATTTGAGTCCAGGGCCAAGAATGTTGCCAGTTCTGCAGCTTCCTCTGATAGCCGTAATAGGAAAAGAAACTGATAGTGATTAATTTGAATGCTGACCAGATTTGATATGTAGGCCAACACATGAATGTCTGCAGTCTTTACTCTCTCAGAGTCAACATGGCTCCCAGCAGAAGTTCTTGAAGTATCAGAAGTCGACTGTGTTATAGCATTTACTTTGGAAGCATCCTGGAAGCCCCATGAAGCAACGTGGTTGAAAGATGAAAAATCTGATTTTCTACTGTTGGTTACATCATTACCTATTTCACTAGTTTTCAAACCTTCATGGTATATGCCAGTTTTATCACCACCCATGCTAGTACCTGTCTGAACACTGTAACTCAGGGAAGAATTGGAAGAAGCCAGAGTTGGAGGAATGTTTTGTGGAGATGGGAAGGAAGGGTGAACTTTTCTCATAGCAGAAACAGCACCAAACTGGGAAGAAGCATTAGAGTTCATAGAAGGAGAAAGTGGAGAAGAAATTGTGACGTAGACCCACAATGTGAGAGGAAAGGCATCAAGGAACGGAACGGGGCGATTACTCCCAACAGCAGACGCCCCAAAGAAATCCCCCCATACAGGTTCTAAGTTCACACACCACACATCTTTTGCTTCTGTCCACAGAAGTTCACGGCTCAACATGCGTACCAGTTCTGACACAGAAGATGCAGAGAAGTGTGGAGGAGGAGACGGCCGGACATTATCTGTGCCTGGAACATTTCACACGTACACATAAAAATGATAAGAACAATATTTTATTGTAAATCTTGTATGATTATTATTATCTCAATTGTATAATGTCTCATTAATATATAAATATAAAGCTAATAATGCTGTCTTTTAAAGCCTGAGTTCAAATGGCACATATGAAAATCTTCATATATTACGTAATTAGAAAGACAGCAAAAAACAAAAACTGAAAGAAACCCATTTAGTCCTAACATTTACATAATAGTGAGTATTATTTGCCAAATCATCCATATTCATACATTACAAAGAAAACACAACATGTCACCATTTTAAAGATCAGCTGCTTAATGCTGTTTAAGGATAAAATTGCTGTTTACAGTGAGAATCATACAAACCATACATACACAAAATTAAAAGTTGCTATTTGTTAAAGCAACTAGTATGCGCTTCAAAGGCATTACAGTCCTATTTAAAAATAATAATACGAACATCTTACCCGCAACATGCTTCAGGAATTTGTCTGTTACCACATGGTAATCATCAGGTAAGGCAGGAAAATCTGCCCCAAAGAAGAGAGAACCCAGCTGGTATGTGTCTATGCACTTGGCTAAATCCGCCCTGGAACTGTGTTCCATGCTGCGTACATTAGTCACCGAGACACGCGACACTTGAAAATGAAGAGATTTTGGACGATCTCGTTGATTTGGATGCTCTGCAGAGCTCTCAAATATGACCTGCAATATGTGTGGGTGAATATGAACAAAAAGCGATGAAAGTCAAGCATCAATATTCTGTACATCTCGATTCACCAGCAACCCACAAACATCGGCAGCCAAGTGCTATTCAGTTCCATGTCAATTACATCTACATCCTACACTAGAAAGCTGCATAAGTAACATATTTACATTAAACCACTGCACTAAGCAATTTTAGAACATTATTTATATTAAAGAAACTAATTAAATAAATCTGTTTGGTAACATTTTGGCTGCACATAATCTACATGCTGTCAGAAAGCTACAAAACTGTTCAGTGATGCAATACATACAGAATAACAAACATTAACATACTCTAGGCATGATGGCTTCAAGCTTGACATCCATATACATTAAAGCTGCGGCTGCCTGCTGCTGCTCAGGATTTGAGGATAACAGTGACTGATGAAGATTCAGAGCAAAGGAGTTGAGCCATAAACAGCTACACACATCGAAGTGAATCTGAATTGGATTCACTTGTACATAGAACTTTGGCTGAGGCACTAAAGACAAACAGAAAATAGTGGTTTAATAAAAGAACAACATTTTAGAAAATCTGACAAATTTATGTTTAAATAAACAGAATTTAACCCTTCAAGGTGGTTGGACGTCCCGGGACGCCCTGGCATTTAAATTCCCGGTCTGCTGTTAAGCCTAATTTCAAAAGCCCATAATTATGGAAATAATAACGACTGATATATGATGTTTGTAGTTGATCTGGTGTGGAAGAAATGCTCTTTCTGATCATGTATTGGCAACGTCGCATTCTTGGATCTCTAAAGGCTAGTCTGTGAATAAATGCGTGACCTAAGAGGTTAAAGAAATAAAGTTTGATAAGGATCAAAATATACTCTCATTCGAATGTTCACCTTTCCTCGAAAATTAATTCATCTAAAAGCACGGACACTATAAATAATAGTGTAACACACTATTTATAGAAACACATTCAGACTGCTGATGACAGAAAATGTGATGAAAAGCAAACACTGCATGACTTACATGGGAATGGGATGTCGCCTGGGTAGTAGTAGTACGTGAACTCCGCATGCAAGATGGGAAGGTCCTCAGGCAAAGAATAGCGGTCCCGATCACCTACAAAACAAGAAAAATGTGAACAGTGGCTTAAACTGTCTTGCTGTATTTTAAGCCAGCATTCTGCAACTTGTTACAAGCATTCTGAATTAAAGAGAGGTTTTGAAGTTCACTGCAGAATACTAGACATGAAGGCTGATAAACGCATGAGTATTATGATTAACATATTTACAATTAAAATAGTAAATTTTTATAACCATGTAAATTAATTTTTTTAAACAATTTAAACAGCTAGTGAAATATTGATATAAAAATACCCCAATGCAACTCCTAGCAGCGGTATTTTCTGAACTGTGATGCCACATTTTCTGATGTTTTATTAACATTGCTGAAAACAGTTACATGCAGAGAATAACACAACATAAAAAGCATGAATACATAACAACTCCTACAGACACAAAAATGCTAACAATTCTGACTACATATGCAAATTTTTATAAGAACTCGTGATGCCTACTTTCCTTCAAATGCTTCCAACTACCTATGGAACACATTTTAGTACAGCACATATGCCAATATAAATCCCTGAACTACTGTAGAACTTAAGCTTCCAGGACTGACAGCATAATTACATGCAAGATCAACAAACCAAACCAATACTTGAGGCTTGACATCTGTTGCACTAGCTAAATACACACAGGATTGTAAGTGCCCTGAATATGTTCATTACCACGTACTTCTCTGTTGCAAGTGTTAATACGTACAGTGTACCAACGCTACGAGACGTGCAAAGGTCAACACATCGCTTACAAAAACGCATGGTCACTTGGAAATTTCATCTATCATATGAGGGAATGTCTTCTGACAGAAGATTCAGTGTTCATCATCAATAAATCACCCCTAGTTATAAGGACACACCCAAGGGCCAACACATCAAGCAAGAGAGGCAAATTAAGTTCAGTACCCAACAACTTTCAGTACTCTTAACCAATTATTGCCTTGTTAAGAAAAACAATCATAAATGTCTTAACACTTCCTTCTAAGCTTTTATATACTGAAACAGACATGCTGTACCTTTAAACCTAGTCATAGCAATGACGGACTTTGTCATGCATCTACCATGCACGTATAATACCTGGACCAATCTTTGTTTTCCTCTTATGTTGAGCTAAAGTAATAGAAAGAAAAAATAAAATACAGACCACATTCAATCTTATATTATAGTCAACATCAACATAATTCCCTTTTCAATTCTCTGTACCACAAAGTGTGAAACAGAAAATTAATGCATCAAAAAAACATAGTTTTTGAGAAACATAATACTTATTAGAAATCTCAAATTTATATTTACATAATTATAACGTCAAATTCTCTTGAAAGAAAGAATATTTATCCTGCACAGTGCACTGAAAGCAATGACTCAAAAAAAAACCTTATATTAAACCCTCGGCATTTACCAATGTACTCAGAATATCACGCCTGTGTGTTGTATGTTTCCATCCAATGTACACGGTACATTAAACGCTGTTAATATTGTTAGGAAATTACATTTTGTTCACTAAAATTAACATTAACTCTGCAGTGTACCAACATCTTAATTTGGATAAGAAAGTCAGAGAAATAGGATAAAGTGCATAAAAATACAGTAGAGTTGTTCTGTTGTGGTGGACACAAGAACTTCATTAATGAAGCATTAGTTACCAGACCCCAAAATTCATTAAAATATTTTTGTAGCTAATTTACCTGTTATGAATTCCTTTGGTATCTGTTTGCGTTTTGATGTGGTTACTTGGTAAAGGATAAAATCCTGTATCCTGAGTATTACACAAGTTGTCATCAGCTTGGCCAATTGTGTGAGGACATAGTTCTTTACAGGGTTACCAGTGCTACCATGTGTTGTTGTTGTTGCTGTTGTTGGACACTTTCTCTGTGATTCCTATTCATCAGAAAATAATCTATCTGAACTAAGAAAATAAAATAGTGTAGTTGCGTAATATTGTGATTTATTAAATTAAAATTAAATTATTTAATTATTCCATCAAATCACAATGTATTTAAAATAAGATAATTAAAATAATTAAAATATTCCAATTGTAAATCGATTATTCGATATGGAACAAAGAATGATATTTTAATTATTTTAATTATCTTATTTTAAATACATTGTGATTTGACTGAATAAACAAATAATTTAATTTTAATGAACTAAGAACTTAAACCTGTCTTAAGTCTTACAACTTAACAAGGATTAACCTCTGGAAGACAAAAAAATCCATAATTATTTACCATGATTAATATGACTCAGCATTCTAAATCCAGTGCAATACATATTATTTGGAGATTATTGGAATACTAACAAATACCAAAAATAACGTGCATCAACATCCAGCTTATTGATTTTAACTGATATTTCAAGCAATCTTGAACTGAAGTTCGTAACGTTGTAAAATTAACTTTTCTAAAATACAGGTAACCACTCTCCAAATTCCAAACTGCTTCAGTAACACATTCTCCCACTGTACATAATAAAAAAATTTAACCTGTTTTTCTCAGGTACTGTAAGCCTTTAAATTTTATGCAACAAGCTTCAATGACTCCCTGGGCCTGGTGCTGATGCTGCTGATGATAATTACCATCACTGGCAGCACCAGTTTTGCTAGGACCTTGCTGAGCAACCTGAGTGCGTACAAGCGGTGTATGCTGTATTCGGCCCTGATCAATTAAATCCAAAAAACTGTTACGAAACGCAGCTAATGCCTGATCCAACCACTGTGAATGGGGAGATGCCCCTTCCCGATATTTGGGCCAGTGCTTTCGATGCCCAATAGCTAGATGATAGGGGTAATAATCCACCTGAAATCAAAGGTGAGTCACAAATATAAGAACACTGACTATTTATGAGTGCAAAATTATTTTTTACCAGCTGAAATCCATTACAAACTGGCAATCAGAGGTGCATATTGCAACACCAGCAGTCATGTACACAACATTCAACAATTCAGTACGGTGCATTCACACACAAACAAAAGTAATGATTGGAACAGTTAGATGCTGCATGTTGGATTTTAACATATATTATATAATTACTATTAGCAGAAACCACATGATCTGAGGGAGGACATATTAAGAGCTGAAATAAATAACCCAGTGAAATACTTAAATGTATTTAAAAAGAATGTTTCTGTAAAAAATTGTTGGTATGGCTATACAACTCATTGAGTTAAGAACATAGACACGACAGAAATAGAACGAGAGATGGAACATGTAACAATGACAAATGGAATAATGTGCAAGATTAAAAATAAAACTGCTTGTACATACATCACACATTACAATGATAATGGTTAAATTTCACTGCAAGGTGGTTCCTTATTTTCACAAATCAAAATTGATAAAAATATAACTACTAGTTCCATGAAAGCATGTCACTTAAACATGCTTCAGTGTTAATTTAAACATTTTCCTGACCTCTGAGAGTTCATAGCGTCATTTCAAACAGGACAAATAGAACACTTGTATACGCATGGATCTTCTGAGACACCGCCAAATACAATAAAAGCTCTCCACATCAAACAAAATGTTGGCTCACTAAAAGGTACCCTACTGTAAATAAATATAGAAACAACGAACACACACAACTTGGCTTTCTTAAATTTTACTGCAGAGGTTTAACAGTACCTGAGTATATTTCTCATCAGTCAGTGATAAGGAGGTGGGGACACATGTAATAGTAAGTACTTTAAGAAGATACAACAACAAATTTGCTCTACTGACTCATCTTTCATGCTTATCAACTGAGACAACAATTGTTTAAAACTTCACAACTGTGGAAATACCTGAAAATGCTGCAAGCTAATTTGAAGGGCACCTCCATCTTTCAAGTCGGGATGAACTGACCTCCCATCTGGAAAATCACAGTCAAAAGTACTCAAAATGTACTTTCAACTTACATTAACATTTATAATTTCTATCATACAAACCTTTCTTTCACAAAATCCTTAATATAATAAAAAATTATGGGAATGAATTCACGTTTTATCTCTTGTGGCATTGCGTTTGAGAAGTGTCTGGCCATCAGCAGTACAATGCTGAACTGACATGGAAGGAGCAATTTAAATATGCTGTGGTCTTCAGTTACCGCTCTTACAACCAAACATGAAATACAAATTTATGGATGCTGAAGACTACTGTTTCACATGAAATATTTAAGCCGTACTTAGTTTCTTGCATAATTAACCTCCTGTTTTTCAATAGTACAATGTAAGCAGTTGCCGCAGTCATATACTTACTTACCACTTATTGCATAAGCATCTGTATTCGCTGTTCCATCACAGAGCTGCAAGTTCATTGGCTCATAACAACTTCCCTATACACAATCATTAATAATGGCGGTGCATTTCTGACAGTGGGACATGTCTTTCAGTCAAAATGCAAACAACTCTACTGGCTTTCCCTTATAATGTTACAAGACTGAATTAAATAATTCTCATGTACAAGCTGTGTCATTTTAGATTGTTCAGTTCCATATTAAACACTGTGTTAACTTCCTTCTTTTACCATCTCTTGTAATTTAAATGTTAAATTAGGTCATAGCTCTTTCTTTCCATGTCCCTTCCAACTTTTTATTTATTAATCATCCTATCATTCAGTGGTATGTATCATGAGCTGACAGCATTATCAAATAAACCACAAATAAAATATGTAAACGTATTGTACGATGCTCAGACCCATACTCTAGAAACAAACATTAAAATATTCAAGCACATAAACACCATCCTCTCTTTGATCAAAATTGAAAATACTGCTGGAAAAGTGTTTCCTGCACTGTTAATTAGGGATTGTATTACTCATACTCTTTATTGTACAACGTAAACTGTTCTAAATACAATGAGCGAAGAAGAAGAAGACAACCATGAAAGTGATGTTCCTTTTTGTCAACAGAAACATAGGTTGAAGCAACTGTCCCTCACCTCCAGGATCATCACACAAGTGAAGATCTATACGCTGACATAGAAAGTGGTAGGAAGTCTCAACAACATCATACCTGCTGAAGATACGAGATATAGCACTTTTCGGCTCTTTGCCTTGGGTTTGCTGAGAGACCTGAGCTTGGTATTCAGGTAATACCTGCAAATAACAGAACACAGTCATTTTTATAGTCGTCACATAAACTGGAACGACGTCTACAGGTATTCAGGTAATACCTGCAAATAACATAACACAGTAATTTTATAGTCGTCACATAAACTGGAATGACGTCTACGATCGTACCACGCAAACATTAAGATAAAGATTATTGCACAGATAAATTCTGATTCTGTACCTTACTCCAGTCAAACTCACATCCTACAAGGTTCATATTTATTATGTGTAAAATAAAAATCAACAGGAGAAAACTGAGCAACTGGGATCTTCATAACTTGTATTCTTCACCTATTATTGTTTGCATGATTAAATCAATAAGGTTGAAACACGTAGAACATGTAGTGCACAGGGAAGAAATGCACAAAAAATTTTGGTTGATAAACACCAGAAGCAGAGAACATACAGAGATACAAATGGGAATGTATGTAAATGAATCGACTGCCTCAGGATAAGGTCAAATGGTGGGCTCTTCTAAATACAGTGATAAACATTCAAGTTCAACTTTTCAAAGGAGATTCTTTGCCATGGGGTTAAAGTCTATCAGTCAGTAAAATAAAGGCCTCTTATTCAATTGGTATCAGCAGCGTTTTCCATAAGGCCTCACTTCCATTTCACAATGATATTAAAAATGAATTAAGCTTTACCACTAGTCCAACGTTATACCTTCATGGCATATTTTATTTACAGTATGTTTACAAAACAACGGTCAATGTTATTTTATTGAAAATTTGAAGCCTCAGAGGACTGCAAATCTCAACTCACAGTACACAAAATCAAGAAATCTGTGACAATTGATGAGGAGACTCTAGCAATCCTTTTTCTCATCCTTGGCAAGCAATGATGCTGGTATCTCAGATTGAAAACTTGTCAACAGTGAATTGCTATGAAACAATTCAGGCTTTTTCTCTCTTCACTGACACCAGAACTGCAAATGTTGAAATCTGTTATACTGACATTTCAGTGCTTACTTACACTGTTAGGTTATAAGTTCTACATGAAAATAAACTCAAATACAACAAATTCAAAAAGATTTGGAGTTCTAAGTTTACTATATACAGGGTTTACCACGACCTAATATCACACGTTTCAAAGCATAATGAAGGAAATTACGCATTACGTCTTTTCTTCATAAATTATTTCTAAATTCTAAATACAAATACTTATAGACTCTGCTCTCTTAAAATAGGATTAATTGGCAACTTGAAACTTAAAAATACTTGGATAAACTTGGAATGCTGACATTTACAAAAATATTTAATTTTAAGGTGGGAGTGCAAAAATCATTAAATTAGTCCCAAGTCCCTACCAACAAAGGGTTAATTAGACAGCCGATTAAACGAAGCATTACGAAAATTACCTCTAATTTTCTAGCCGCTTTCTTTATCCTTGTTAACTCCGTTGCTTTCTGCACAAGCCCAGTCAAAGAATGAAGGAAGTGAAGAGCTGCCTTCAGCTGTGAGTCTGTCAATACCCACAACAGATCATCTAAGATCAATACCAAGCGTGAACCCATGATGAAACAATCTGCAAAATATTTTTATTTGCATGAAATAAATGTCTGTATTTCAATAAACATATATACCAAGAAGCTACTCAAAAAACCTAAGGTCTTATCAGTAAAGCAGCTCAGCAAAGATATTCAACTTACATTCTTAGAATATTAATTTGAAAGACATCAACATGAGTCCTGCTGATAAAGGATAAAGTTTACCTTAGACTTTCAGCGATCATCGCGGGTTCTACAGCCTATTACAGGCCTTGACCGCCCCAAGGAAGTGTTTATGTTTCGATAAAAGTTTAAAGTTTATTTTCACAAGCCATGCTTATATTACTGTATTATGAAACACACAAAGTATAATGTGTTTTTCAACATGCCCAACTCCCGATTTTTAATAGTTCACTATCAAATCTGTTTCTTTAAAGCAAACAATATTACCTGCTATTCTCTTCTTAATGGTAATTCTGCATCGAGCCTGGTTGGTAAGCAATCGAAGTGGAGTAAGATCCGCATCCTTTGTAGACTTAGCTTCAATCCTAACTGTCTGCCATTCCAGTTCCTTGAATATTAATAACTGACCACGATCTGGCTCCTTTAACCTTGTCATTCGTAAATCACAGCGTTGCCAGGACGGTGACTTGGATTCTACCATAATGCGTTGCATCTAGGAAGACACAAAAATATCCTTTTACTTGAAGATATCCGTCTTCTGGGTTATTGCGCTGTGTAGTCTGGTCGATGTTAACCAACGTTTCAGAGG